GGACTATATAAGTTCAATGTTGGTTTCAAATATGATAATTTATAAATGCTTCTATCTATCAGAACTACCCCAAATGTGTTAGGGGATTTTTTGAAGTTTTAGAGTTATGAATCGTTAATGTTGCTATGAAAATTTTCGATCGGACCGGCCTACATATATCTTTTTGAGAGGATTTTTCTCAGCATATTTTTTGAAAAATGAATTGTTCTTTCATGCTTAAAATAATTAGCTATCTAAAATTACAGCAAAATTTGCATTCGAACAAGGCAAAGTTGAATTTCCAACTTCGAATTGAAAATAGTTGAAAAAATATTCCCTTGTTCCTAGGTTATTTTGAAAACTTTGCGGGACCTTAAGCTTTCAAAATAACGGAAGCAAGTGGTATCTTACAAGGTATTTTTGCCGAAACTGGCGTTCAAAAGTTATTTGTTTTTAAAATAATATTAATACCTATTTTGTCATTCCCAAGACTAACTTAGAAAATACGACTAATTATGTAAATACACGTAACACAAATCTTGAATTGAATCATTAATAAATTTTGAAATTCAGTTTCACTGAGAGGTAAAACGTTGACCATCAATTCAATTCAATAAATACATATCCTACCATTATTTTATCCTTATTCGTTAACTTTTGTCGCATTCCTGCAAAAGAATAATGATTATACTTTATACGAAATACATCATTTCTTTCTTTTCTAAAGACAGTGTGAGTTATGGATATTTTAACACATTGCTTTAACATTTATAAAAAAATTGTCTTTTTTCAATAACCTGTCGATATCAGTCTTCATAAAATTAAACTATGCAAGTACCTCTGAAAAAAATTAATAGATTTTCTTGGCCAAGTGTTTTTTTTGGTTTTATTTTCATAGTTTTTGTTGATGTGTGGTATTTCATTACTGAATTACCCGTAGGAATAAAAAGTATGTGACTGTAATATTTCACAATCAAACGATTTTGATTTCGAAGTGAAAAATTTGAATTTGAATGTTAGAATGAGAATTTTTTCATTAGTAATGAAAATTGATGTGCTTTTATGTAATTTTAGGTAGTTGATTATTATATGTAATTAATAATGAGATACTGAAAACATATATTGAAAAAACTCCTTTTGAAAAAATTAAAAAATATTTTTGTCAGTCCGGCTGAAAATTCTCATAAAAATATTGAAAAATTACCAGTGAATATGGTAGATCTCGAGGTGTTTTATTTACAAAAAAAAGTTAGGCCACCCTGTATACATTGAACATTTAAATGAGTGTCCCTAAGGTAGTTTGTCAAATTGAATGATAACTTTCAATATAAACTGCACACACAAAAAACATTGCGCTGGCAAACATTATTTTTTCCATGTTTGATGAACTTTGGAAATTTTATCATAAAAGTCAATTGAAAAATATTATTGTTATTGAGGAATTATATCGAAAACCACTTACCTTGGTTGATGTTGTTTGGTAACTAAAACGTCCAGAGTCCATCACCCCTTGAATAACAACTCTTATCTAGAATATTTACAGTTTTTACATGATGAGCAGTATTTTAGAAAATATGTTAAACCTGAAAGAGCCTAACAATAATGACTGTCCCAATCTAGTAATTCTTGTAAAGGCAACTTCTCAAACCTTATGTTTGTGTGTTTGTTTCATTTGTTGAACACCTTAAGTATACTTATTTTATCAATAACGATATGTAGTACTAATTATAAAAGTAGAACTTGTTCCTGAAATGGTGAGCTATTTTCTAAGCGTTATTCCACCTAATTATTTTTGTTTTTCATAGTTGAATCTCAGAGTTTTCATCTTGAAATGGGAACATGGAAAAAATAATACTGTATGTGGAAAATATATTTTTTATTTTTTTGCCTCATTCTGCTGAATTTTTATTCAGTGTTTGGGAAATTATCCTATATTTCAGAACTGAATAAACTGAATAAATTTATTGTTTTGTAATATTTGATTTAATATTCGAAAACTTCACTTTATTTGAAAACCTTGTAGAATGGTTAAGTTGGTCACTGTTTATTTTGAAAGTTGAATTGTGGGAAACGTCCGAGGGAAGAAAGAAAGCAATTGAGTTCAAAATTAACTGTTAATCCTTAGCACAAGTTTCGACTTCTGAGGGTTATCGTTCGTAGGAGTGCGACAGCTGGTTAACGTTAAAACAGATTCTTAAACTGTTAGATCTTGCATAGAAGTTACTTTTAGATACAGACAGGTAGAAAAAGCCCTCCCGAAACAACTAGTTTCACATGAACATTGAATTACCTACACGAAAGAAAAACTACTTTTGAAACTTTGATGATGAGGGCTCTTTCTTCCGATTTGTGTCTGAAACTTCTATGTATGATTTACACATGTTTGTAAAGAGCTTCTTTTAAACTTAATTGCTTGCTTCCTTCCTTTTGAAGTTTTTCACTCCTTTTGTGTAAAAGTGAAGAAGAAAGCCGATTTTTTTTGGATAGAACAACACATCTAGACCTATCATTGTTCCATGCGAGTGAAATTTTATGTCTTTCATTTAAAGTATTCTGTAGGAATCCTATGAATGATATCTGATTCAGTTCCATAACGAATGTTTGGATAAAAACTGAATAAATAGAAATGTTTTTGTATAATTCAGTGTTCATATAAAAGTTTTTGTTCTTTAATTTATTTTTTCGTATAATTCAATGTTTATATGGAAGTAGCTGTTTCGAGAGGGGGCTTTTTCTTCCAGGTTGCGTCTGAAAGTTACTTCTTTGCATGATATACACATCTTTGTATAGAGTAATCCATGTAAGTGAAATTTTTACCTCTTTCATTTACTATATTGTGTATGAATAATGTGAATGATATCTAATTCAATTCCATAACGAATGTTTGGAATACAAACTGAATAGAGAAAAGTGTTTTTGTATAATTCAGTGTTCGCATAAAAGTATTTGTTTTGAAATTATTTTTCTCTGGTGTAATTCAATGTTTATGTGAAAGTAGCTGTTTCGAGAGGGCTTTTCTTCCAGTTTGTGTCTGAAAGTTACTTCTTTGCGTGATCTACACGTCTTTGTATAGAAATAATTTTTCGAAATTGATTGCTTCCTTCCTTTCATTGGAACATTCCCACATTTTTTAAATAAAACTTCTTTACGCGCGCTTAACTTGAGAAGTAAGCTGGTGAATGCGTGACAAAAAGTGTGATTGGATGAGGCGAACGGAGGTTGAGAGGGAGGTATGAGTTGGTGAAGAGAGTTTCTCTTTGTATATTATTGTAGGGACAAGAGAGAGAGAGAAAGAGAGAGAGAGAGAGAGGTGTGAGCACACATTTACGGTCGAGTAGGCTCTGAAGAATTAGGAGAAAACTTATCATACATTGCAACTAATTTTAGCAGGAGATTTTATTGTCCGAAGATGGACAACTCTTTGTGAACTTTCTACAAGATGAATTAGAACTTTAAATGAATAATAATCGAAATGAGCCTACCACAAGACATGGAACAACAATCGATGAAGTTTTCTCTAGATATCTTTCTAATTTTCATTAGAAAATCATATGTATCTTATTTCTCATACCATAACTATTGTCTATTGATATATTTGTAGACAATTAATATATGTATATAATGTATAAACATATATCATATAGATGGAGCTAAAGAAATTTTACTTCAGTTGTGTGGTGTAAAGCACACTCGCTTTTTTGTATAAAACTGGAGAAGCTGAAACCTTTCTTTACCAAAAACTAATATATCCTTATAAATATAGCCGTTTCTGTGTAAGAATGAAAATACTTAAAATATTTCTGTGATAATAAATTTATAATTTTGTAAAAGTATTTCAGTGATGAGAAATGTTCATTTATTCACTTAAAACTTCGATATGTTCAAACCAAGGCAATTTTCGTCTATGTAGAGCACTGAACATTTGAATGATATCGAGTATTTGATGGTTTTCATAATGAAAGCTAATATTTTCTGAATATTGATTTTTGTACATACATATTAATATTTATACAAAATGTTCATCACTTATTGAATTCAAAAGCTACACCCTTGTGGAACCTCACACAATATGGTTTATATTCGTACAAATTAATTTTATAACAATAATAACAATTTATTTTCTAAGAAACATACAATGTTTATACTAGGGAAAGGAAAAATATAGAAATCAACAAAAGAACGTTTTACAAATTCGCTTAAATTGAAATGTATGAAATACCTAAAATATTGATAATAATATAATGGTTTACAACAAAAGATGTTTTTTTTTTAAAATTTTGTCTTTAGAATTGGTAAACTTTTATGTAATTTTGATATGGTATTCAAAACCCTTGGATTTTTTGAATATTTTTTAAATGCCTTGTTCAATAGTTATGTTGATCACTGATTATTTCGAAAATCAATTTGTTTTTTGACAAATGAATAAAGGTGCAAAGTTTGAAGAATTTGTTTATCAATAAATTGATGGATGTAGCCGTTACTACGTGGTAGGAGATCATAATGAAAAGAGAAATGAAAAAATTTGTTTATCATCAACATAACGTTTAATAATATTTTTCAGAGGAAAATATTTTTTATACAATTTTTAAGTTATCTGAATCTTTGATGTTGCAATATATTGAAACATATTCAGTTTGAAGGCCAGTTTATGATCGTAAAAAAATTATTGACTTGTTGAACTTGTATATAAACTATTATTTGGATTCTAGAAATGACTTGTCAACAAATGAATTGGTATTTGAACTCTTCTCAATCAAATTGATTCCTATTATTCCTCCAGTGAACATTTAGTGAAATGAACTTTACTAATTCTGTTGGATTCATCGAGTATTGATCGTTTGATCACGAAGGGCAATCCATCCCGTTACAAACATGTGAATCGCAAAACAAAAAACATTCCTACCCGGCCTTTCACTCTTTTTTCTTTTTATAAATATCATTGTCCTTCATGTTCAGTTCCTCTACGGAAAAAAAATTGAATCTTGAAGACCCCGCTGAGTTATCGCTATTGGCTGTTTCAGATCCTGACAGGAGTAGCCTTGGTGACGCGACCATGGCAACCACAGCTCGGTTCGCAGCTGGAGGCAGCAGCAGTCCTCCCACTCCAACGCCAGCTACCACTCCCCCTGCTCAGCCTCAACAGACTCAGCTTATCGTACTGCCTGCTAGTCTTCAGGTAAGACGATCTCATCTTAAGTGATGCGTTACGTATTGATCGTCAGGTGAAAAATTGTTCATGATCTAGTGTTGTTGTGTTGTAACCAGTAGTCTGTGTGGAGGTTTTTGTGTAATATGTGAAGTTAAGTCAGTAAGTTGAACTTTCAAATCATTGATTTTTCGAAAAAATTATTCATTTAGCAAACAAAGCGAGATCAGGAATAAAGATTGTTTGTCAGGCTTCTAAAATAGGCAACCAACAATACTCGATTATAGTATCATTAGAAACAAACTATAGTGAATTGATTTTTATAATCCTAACAAATTTTTGAAATGTAAAAATATATTTCCCTTTGAATAAAGATAATTTGCAGGTAATTGGACGCACAAGAGTGCAGTTTTCATTAATGATGGGAAATTGTCTTTCAAATATTAATGAGAAAAATTATTGAAGAAATTTATTTTTGAAAATCCTATTCGATTAAATATAATATATTTGTTAAAAATTCTACATTTGAGTAATTGTTATGTATAGCCGTGACAACTGCTATCAGATTATATAGAATATATATAACACTAATATCTTTCACCGAGCCAAATCAGAAATAAAAGAAAATGTTTTTACCATATACTATCATTCATGTTGGCTTTTTTTTATATATGTAAATCTTTAATATTTTTTGTGATATATCTAAAATGAAAAAGACTGAATTACACTGAACGTGGAATATCTAGATTGTGTCGCTTTAATTCCTAGTCAAATACACATAAGAGTTGAATACTCATTATTGTACTTAATATACCATTATCACGATATACTGAATTGTCTTGGTAATGCTCTCTCACTCATATTACCTATTTTATACCACTAAAAACACTAAAAAAGTATTTATTTTCACTTCTTCATTAGATATATAAAATGGGAAGCTTCCAAAGAAAGGAAGAATATTAAGTTTTAAACCTACTACTGATATTTCCTAGGAATATTGAATAACATTTTGTTGGATGAAAAAGTTTTAATATAACAATATTCAAGATTTCACGTAAAAACAATTATTTTCAGCTCGTCTATTATTAAAATTCTCTGAACAAATTGAAAAAATGATTTCTGTGCAAAACAATGTAATTAGGGGAGATAGTTGTTTCAGATGATTTTTTTTTCAGTTAGAAACTAAATGAAACATTTATGAATGAACGGCACATTGTTTCTAAGCTTTCCAATTTTCATATTATATAAGTAGTGAGATAATTTTTTTTTTCGAAAAATTCATTTCTTTGAAAAAATGTTATCCTAATTTTTTGTCGAATTTTCATTTATTTTCATTGAATCTGATACCCGATAGATATAATTTATAAGGTTGATCAACGTTTGCCAGGTCATGAATGCTCATAGTAGGGACTCTATACAAATAATGCAAATGTGATGCAAATTAAATTAAATTCATACAATGAAACAATACTTTCTTACCTTCTGCTTTGCCTTACATTGCTTATCATAAACTAAGAGTTACTATACATTTCACACAAATACAAAATACATATTCAAACAAAGTTTCTCATTTTTGTCTTGCTCTGTATAATGCTTTACATCAAAATATTACGGCAATTAAAGTACAGAGTAGGTGCTGATTTTGACATATAACATAATCAACAAAATAGTTGAATGATAAAATTTTTATAAATCTGCCAAATATTGTTGCTTGTTTTCAAGAAATAAAATCGTTGCTGTGTCCATTTGTGGTAATTTATCACTAGGCAATAATATTTACCATCTAGCAACTAGAAATTCGAGCTGAAATGATCTGAAAACTGAGGTCTAATGATTGAGAGGTATCTGGTGAGTTCTGTAACAAAATTTAGAAACAAATTTAATCATAACTTGTATTCAACCTTTATAAATATGTTTGTATCAACATCTTTTATAATTGTACTGCAGTGCTTACCTTTTCAGACTACATCATCGGGCACAATAGTGAATGGAGTACCTGTCATAGATGTTTCGGCTTTAGAACAAGCAGCGGATTCTAGCAACGAAAGCACTGCAACGGCTGATCATCAAACAGAAACACACGAAACTGACCCACTTTCATCTGGGTCTCCACATTTTATAACGGTTACAGGTTAGTACAGTAAATTCCTACCAATAGATTTTTTGTTATGACGTTCGAATGAAGCATGCAATTCTGATTTTTTACAAATCAGTCTTAATAGAAGTATAAAAAGTAGGTAAGTAAGTTTATTATAGAGACACTTCGTAGTAGTCATTTGAAAATATTGTGGCAAGGATCTATTCTTGGCCAGCCCCTTTTTTTATTATACATAAATCCCATTAACAAATAACCTCTGAAGGGATCAGTTGAATTAATTATTTGTTGATGATACAAAATTGTATCGGATTAGTTTGACTTAATTCAAGATGATATGAAATCAGATATGAAAACAATTTCAGGTTGACTTCCAGAACATAAACTAACTCTAAATTTTCAAAAATCTTCATATATGAATATTTCTAAAACATTATTGAACAGTTGTATCAATCAATCAATTAAATTCCTAGGATTATATATTGATGAAAAATTATCGGGACTAAATATATTGAAAATATCCACAATTGAACCTTTGAAATATTTACGAAACGAAACTATAAAATGCATATATGAATTATCGTACTTAGAACTAACAGTGAGTTTGTATAAACAAAAAAATTATTAGATTTGAACACACTATACAAACAAAAATTTTGTTGTTTCATTCATTCAATAACAAATAAATCAAAATTTTCAAACAAATATTTTGTAGAAATCAATGACATTCATAATCATAACACTAGATAAACAAAATTGTTATCAGTTACTTATTTCAAATCGATTTATCATGATGGAATTTCAATATATAATACCATTCCTGAAGAAATAAAAAAATCTAAAACTGCTCTTAAACAAAGAAATCTGTTGAAAAAATGAGTTTATATTCAGGATTATATGATTTTTCATATAGCCTGAGTCACCTAAATGTTTTTAATATTCAATTCATATTAGACTATTGGCTCATAATAATTATTTTACTTGTATTCTCTTGTTTAATTTATATTTTAGTTTTTAGTAACTATTCATGAACATTCAATGTTTCTTTTGATAATGAAGACGATACCAATATATCAATGTATCATTTTGAAGAAGGTGGAGGTGTTTTTATAATATATATTGACCATTTTTATTTGAATTGTTTATTTACTGAGATATTCAAAAAACTCATAGTTCCTTTCATGACATTTATGGATAAATTTGTAATTCCATAGAGAAATGTGAGATCTGAAACTTCAACTTTGTTAAGAATTCTAAACTATTCTTAAAAAAGTATGAGATGAATAATTTTTACAAATAATTCAGAGAAAAAACAACTTTTGACTAATTTAGACAATGAAGAACAAGAGATAAACAGACTTCTATCTGGAGTAACACAATAATGCATGATTAACAAAGTTTTTCCAAAAGGCGACCTGTACTAACTAGGCTATTAATATTTTTATGCTCACCACAGAAGCAGCCAATAGATCATACACTTCTTTAACACCTTTACAACCTACAGTAGGTAAGAGCACCATTCGTTTAGGCATGGCTTCTTTTACGCTTTCGTTCGAGATACCTATAATTATTCCAAATAAGTTCAAAAGGCCTCGTTTTGCTCTTCTGTTATATTATAATTTATGAATATTTCAGTATTTTTGTTTTTTTTTCCAATGAAGCAGGTTGTTATACTTCATTTCATTTGAATTCATCCATACGAATTGATAAAACTTTTTGTTTCATTTAGATAACTTTATATTAATTTTTTTCTTGACTCCTTACAAAAAATTTGTTTGCAAACATATTAGGCATTTCAACTATCGTAAGTTATTTCAGTCAGTACCATATGTTATGATAATGTAGTCTCTGTTGAATAGAAAATTGGGATTGCATTTCCAAAATATTTCTATTTTTATAGTCTATAGGTATTCGTCTATCAAAAAAATCTTCGGGTGAAATTTCAAACGTTAGGCTTCTGAATATTCACGAATATAACATCAGCCACGGAGATTATGGTACCATTTTATTTATATTATTTTTCATATTATTGATTTCATATTATTGGTTATTTATTCTACAACATCAAAAAATTATAGAAAACAGCAACAGCCTCATAAAAATCAATCTGTGTACTCGAATTTTTTCATATATGTGGAATTTCTTCTGAAACATTTGAATGGTATATGTTGAAATTGGCCGATACTTGATGAAAATCCATAACGTAATCAAAAAGCACTTTATTGTGAGACTGTTTAGTGTTTAGTGAAACTGAACTGTTTAGTAAAAATCTCACAATAAAGTGTTTTTTAAATTTGAATGGTACAACTCAAATTGACTCTTGTCTACTTTCAACAGTGGTTTTGACATGATCATGTCGATTTCATTCTCTAAATTTGGTAATTTGTAAAGTGTCTTCGATGTTAAGTAGAGGAAAAGAGTCAAATGATCATAAATGATAATTGTTCGCCCGGAATCCAACTTGGGACCATTGCAATTCCAGATTCACATCAGTGATATTCATACATGTTTTCTCTATGATAAAACGTGTGCAGATGATTCCAAAATATTTCTTTCTATCGTTTGTAGACATTATATGTATTAGATTCAACAGCATCAGTAGAAAATGTTTTCAGTCCAATATGTGAAATACCTTGAAATCATTCAGGAATTGAAATGATTTTTTTTTCAATAAAAATTTGCAATCACGAAAGTAAATAAGCCAAAGAAATGGTGGGGTTACTAGATCTTGCAATAATATGAACATTTCTAAAACATCAGGAACTTTATGTTTGTTGTATGTCAATAACATTTCGAATTATGTTTGAACGATCTGAAACGTCAAATATATACCCTCAAAAACTTAAAGTATTCAAAAAACTTACATATATTATATTTTTGTAACAAATGTTGACTTTTGTACAAAGTTGTCGAGCAGGAAATTGAACCAATGGAAATTATTCACCTAATATACTTTGTATTTCCTGTTTACAAGACCTATTTCTTTATTTTCCACTGATCAATCCAAAACAAATTATTTATTGACTTACAATACTTTAACATAATCAACAGATAAAGATATTTTCATAGTGTTTCGCCAGTATAGAACGAAAGTTATTTTTTGTGGAGAAAATCAAAGTTTTTATCGACCTTATTCAGATATTTTCAAGTTCCACATTCTGAAATAAGTATAAAAATTGTGAAAAATGAATATACAATATTTTTCCTTGTCAACATTTTTTTTAAATAGTATTACAAGTCTGTTTTTTATATTTCTTGTATTTTGGGTTTATACCATTTGTATATATTAATATTTTATTTCGTCAAAGACTAATAATACTGTTCAATTCAATGGGTTTTATCACGTGAACAAATCGATAAAATATTAAAACAAAATTCAACTTTTGTTACTTGAACAATGTCAATGTCATAAAAACATTTATAAAGTACTATTGACAATTTACATCTCACATCAAATACATCATAAAATCTTGTGCATATATAAAAAACAAAATAAAGTGAATTTGAAAAAATTTAATTATCCACCTTTTATGGTATCATTTGCAATTCAGTAATTGGTCCCCTTCGTTTTGTGGATAAAGGGTCACTAGAAACCAAAAAGTCGTACCACCTGTGTTCCTTGTTTGTAATCTCAGATTCTAATTACAAGGGTTTCATTTTAATAAGAACTAATTCTATATTATTGAAAGCACCCTAACCCTCTGGTCTGTATCATCACCCTTTGTATGTCAGATAAAATTTGAGATGATACAATGGAGTGATTGGTGCACCTGATTGGACACACGACTGGCACACGTCACCTGTGTATATCGGATTATAGGTGATTCATGTTTCTTATTTCCTTATGTGACTGAAGCATAGGTGGACAAAACTAGGGATGTAATCTAGGTATCGAAATTATAGGTAGTCGAAAAATGTTTGGTGTATGCATTTACAAGATATCTTTTTTCTACTTTTTGGTCAGTAGCTTTGTACAATATTCATAATATAATCAAAACTAACACAAGTACTTATGTTTCATTTTTCAAAGTGTTAAAAGTGATACATTTCTCTAAAAGTTAGACGCCAAATCTTTAGTCTATTTTTATTGATAATTTAATCAATGGGTGCAGACTGACAATTTGACAAAATTTTATATTTTTTATGAATAATCAGGGATGTTATAGGCTTCTGCTATAAAGCCTAATTTTGTTGAATAATAATTATTGGGAAGTGACTCTTTTTTCAAAGTCAAATCGTCCATTTTGAATGTATAATGAAATTATGATTTGAGAATATAAAATATGTTTACTTCGATGACTATGATGATGTTGGATTGGTCGAAACTTGCTGTCGCCTTGAACTCACCAAATACTCGTCACCTATTCAAATGTACTCATGTACTCTAAGCATATACTCCTACAGGAATTATCAACAAGGGAGGGGGTCGAAAATACGCTTTCTGTAGCCCTCAAGGTCATGTATTGAGGAGTCAAACATCAAGGTCTTATGGCGCGCACATAGCTCAAGGTCAAGTGTAGCCATTCAAGGCCAAGATTGTATGGTGGGGAAACATATGCGGCAAACACTTGAGGTTGACGTTCAAGGTTGAGTCAGACCTTGATGGTAATCAAGGCGGAATGAAAAATGTTGACGTTGAATGACCTTCAACATGGCTTATCAAGGTCATATGGGGCAGTTCAAGTTTAAACAGTTTGAAGGTTATCTAGTCAAGGACTTGTTACGTGATTTCAAGGTCAAGTGGTGGGAGGGAGGATTTCGAGAATCCCCGTAAAATCTAATAATGTCATATCAGGTAATTTAGTGGGACATTGAAAACTCATTTGGGTTTGTCTTATTTCATCAACCATAGGCTTGATACGTTTTTGCCGTTTTTGCATCTATCCATATGCGCAAGCTCGGTTGAATTTTCTTTAAAAAATATTGGGTCTTAATTCAATGTTTTTCATTTACATGTATAAAAGTATATTTTTTGAATATATCAATATAAATATAATTTGAGAAACATTTTCTAACTGAATAGCCCACGAAAACTGATGGATACCCACAGTTTTATTATAATTTTCTCAAACGTGTTACTTTTTACTACGTGTTTTCAAAAATTATCGTGAAATTAGCTCGAAATTATTACAGCCCTTGGGTTATTACTAATGATAGTTTATAATATTCCCTTTTTTCTTTTGATCTATATCCTTTTAGAATTTGAAATCTCTCCGCCCTTGCCTAGACTACCAAAATATCCTCGTTTCCACCTCTAATCTCTTTTTTCACGTCTACTCTTTGTGATGTTAAGTGTATGTTACAATCCATGTAACAGGTAGGGGAAACACATCACATATATTGTGATCACATTATTAACGTTCCAATTGATTCACATTATTCCTCTTTGCTATCAAGGGTTTATTAACTATCGAATATTTGATGTTTGGATGTCAGTTTGGAAGTTTATTTCAGTGTGTCGAGATGTTTTTGAGTGATTTTTGGAGTGAACAGAAATATTTCTCTTCAAAATGTAATGTGAGAATTTATATGTATATGTTACTTGTTCGATTGATGAATTATCTCGTATTGTGGAAATTCATATTCTATATTCATATCTACTATTGAGATCAAAGCAACTGGGGAGTCTGACTTGAATTTTTCTGAAATGGGTAATTGTGTGTCTTTATCTTTTTCGAAAAATTATTTATCAAAGATAGGAAATGAAATCAAATCACATTGTCAGTGTTGTTGATTGTCATTCTGATTTTATAAGGATTTTCAGTGGAATGTTGAAACTTATGTAGCTATTTAGTTTGTTGGTATTATATGCATTACATATAATAAAATATACTTCAAGTATTTTTTTTAATTACTTTTTTCATTTCAGTTGCTGAAGGAGACACTGTGGCTTCTCATCAAGGTTACCATATTCAGTATGTCGAACCGGAAATATATGCTTCACAGACCAATGGAGGGCAAGCACAAATGTAAGTACAATGAATGTTCATATTCCTTACATATTTTGTTCTCTTGAGTTTCATTGAAGTGACAGATCGATATTGAATAATCAATGTTTTTTGCATTGTAACTAACTAAACACGACTGGAAAAGAGGGCTTGATGATAAGTTTCATATGATAAGTATTCAGTAAAAAGGGAAATCATTGCAAGAACAAGCCTACATTAGCAATTTTTATTTGTGAAAATTTAAAATGCTGAAATTTGTATTGTGAGAAAAGTCTGATAATAACAATTGAAACTTATGTTCACTACTGATAGCTGAAAAACAATGGAATTTGGAACGGTGTTCATTCGAAGATAAAATAAAATGAGTTTTAGCATCCACCTAATCAATAAGAACCATAAACATGTAACAATTTTCCATTGAACAATACATCATTTTTATGAGAATTAAGAGAATATTTCTGTCCAGGGCGTATCCGGTATATACAGTTGGTGAATCGGCAACTCTATATCCCATAACAAATACAGGACAGGGACAAGGTCAGTACTATACAGCTACAAATGCTGGTACCACCACTGTGACCGGAACTGTTGGGTATACTACGACTGGAGGACAGTATGTTGTTCAACATACTGTAGATGCCGAATCTCTTATACCTTCTAACAGAGTGTCGCCGCAAACAACAAATGCGGTGAGTGATTTTACTTTCATCATAAAACCATTGCATAGAAATGTATGTGAGGAGTTTTATCCAATGCTAATGTGTTTTTCAAAATCATTAACATATTTGGCATTCTTGTCATGGAATTAATAAAATAAAAACACTTCTTCTTCACAGCAGAACTGTAACACTCTTCTCGACGCACGTATCAACAAACAAGTTGACGTCATTAGATTATATAAACCAATTTCTAAATACCAAAATGCCTTTTTTATATCCAACCGAATAAACCCCAATTTTCACCATTGACAATGATTCATGGAAATCAAATTTCCTGAGAATTTTACTCTGACTTGGAAAAATGGTTTATAAAAAAATGACTGAAATGGGACCTTTGTATTCACAGTTCTCAGGCTTGCTATTTCTAGAGTTTCGAAAATGTCTAGAGATTACTTCAACAATTTTGAGCAACGGAAGGTGTAAATCAACATTAGACTTTTCTGTTTCGTAAAATCAGTATAAGTCGGGTGTTCTTTGAAATGAATTTTAATAACTTGTTTAGTACAACTAGCATATTTTGTCGTAGTCCTCCCAACTTGTATCATTAATACCAGCATCTTGTCCTTTACGTTACCTAACAATTGTAAAAGTGAAGAATCACTTTTCAAAGCTACTTCTAGACTGCAAGTCCATGTTGAATTTTCAGAGGATCATTTGATACCTCGTAAGAGAGTGGTCAACAGGAAAATCCTGGAAATGCTAAAACCCAACTCAAGAGGGGGGTATATGTATCAAAAATTCTTGTGCAGCTTTTATAAATCTAATTTTAATGACAACTGGGATCTTTCTAGACCGAACGCTGGAAAATAAAAGTGGTTTAAGAAAACAGGAAAAATTTTAATTTTTGGAAAAGTGCCTTCCATATTCAGTGGTCAAAATTCCTGTATGGCTCTCATAAAATTCGATTTTTATGTCATTTATTCTGTCATGTCTTGCATAAGGTGGTTAACGTAATGTCAATTCCATCCCCTAAACCTATATTAAGGATGGTGACTTGATTACTCATAAAACTCAGTAATTTATTATACTTTTTCATAAAATACTGGCTTTTGTTAACATGCTGTACATTGTGGGTAGTGCAGATAGTGGAAACAAAATTGAATTTTCCGCTCCAGAGAAACTTTTTTTAATTAAAAACTACAAACTACTGTATGGCATTAGTATACTATGTAATATTTCATAATTTTGGAAAAATTATGAAATATTAATTTGTTAAACATTGGTGGATCTCACGAAAAAATCTTCCAATTTGGAATACATATATGAAACACAAACGTTATATAATGCGGACATAAAAAACTCCTCTAGGAATAGCTATCAAGGTTGGAAAAAATTTACATTTTTAAAATACTATAGCGTGAAGTCGATTGTCTATGAGAAGACACTGCAGTATTTTTTAAAAGGAATACAGAGAAAATGTTTTTGGCCCCCTCACTGAAACGAAATGAGCCCCCCAGATACAACATGACCACTGAGAGCAGGTGATCTTTCAAATAAACCAAGACACAGATTGACTGCTGCAGAAACTCCAACATAATTGCATGTACCTTCATAAAGTACTCTAAAAGACACGCCTATGGCGAAACACCTGCTGCATTTTTTGTAAAACTGTTTAGTGAAAATTTCACAACGAAATGTTTTTTGAATAAACTACGCTACTCCATATTTGAGGACGTTATTCATCAAGAAAGGGTGCTACACTTCTTCTCTATGAAAGGAGTGTTTTCGTTGGATAACAACATATTTTTATCATATTTTCCATTGCTCATTTGCTTCAGTTGATTATTTGGATGAGCTCAACTGCAAACAAAATTTATTGGGGTGATTTCACCGTTTCTATTTTGATATTGAAATCAATTCTTGTTACATTGAAAATAAATTAAATTATAGTAAACTAGAAGTTTATTTTTGTGTAATTTAGAAGAATTTGGAAAATAGTAAGTCAATTTTTTATAACTTTGAGAGTTCTGTTGTCCTAAAAAAATTGGATTCAATGAAATGGTTCTAGTCAATTCATTTAAATATAGTATATCAAGATTGGAAATTTTGTTATTTAGAATCAGTTAGAAACTGTATAACTTTTGCTTGATTGCATAAATATCTGCATACAATTTCACATATTTCATAACAGTAATGAAAACTGATTCATTGGTCAAGTATACATATTTTATATATCACATTCAGTTCAAAAATTCATCACAGATAGTAATAGTTTCTCATAGCAATATCATCAACTAATGAACTAGCAATCATACTAAAACTTGCTTATGCTAAAAAATGTCTGACTTATGATTTATATGTGTCAAAATAATATGACTAATAAACTAGCTTAAGTTGCTTATGGGTGCTCTTTTCTATCCCTTTGACTAACCTGGGTGGTGCAGGAAACGAATTACGTTGCCACAGCCACTGTGCATGCTTCTCAATCTGCAGGACAAGTAGTAGCAGGCGAAGACGTAGGATCTGCCCTAGGACACGCCACTAGGGTGTCACCCGCAACTGTAAGTCCCTCCAACCTGTCCCATTCTCTTGCTCATGATATCGCACATTTCCTTTTCGCATGAAAATTTGTCGCAACTTTATCATTCTTCATCAAATGATCTTTTTTTACCTTTCAATTTATTTTTGTACCTTTCAATTTATTTTTGTACATACATTTTACTTTTTTAAATTAGGTATAATATTTTCAACGAAAGTCATTTTTTGTGGAGGAAAATCAGTTTTTTATTGACCTTTTCTGGGTATTTGTTACCTTCCACAATCTGAAAAAATATAAAAATTTCAATGGAGAACTTTATACAAGTGTTAGAAGGGCAAACTTTTTAGTTTACCCTGATAAGTTACTGCGTGAAAATCAAAGTATTTTTCACAAAGAAAAATCTTCTATTTATCAGTAACTTGTCGTATTTAACAATTTTGCCTATCAAAAAAATTGTTAACAAATAATACAATACTTATCTTAACGTTTCGGAGGCCAAAATCTGCCTCCGTCTTCAGAAATGTACAAAAAAATTCAAATATATTGGCAGTTATTCCTTTTTGATTATTTTTTTTCTTTACTTCTTCGACAGACGTCAAAGGAGTTTTGAAATATGAAACTTATCGGGGTAAACTAAAAATTTCACTAGTTCGGACTTCCATTGTCTGCTATATAAAATGATTTGAAATCCCTGAAACAACTAAAAAGAAGAATTGAAAGTGAAAATAACAAATATATTAAGCAAAAAAAACCTGAAATGAAATAATAGTGAAATAAAATACAAGTAAAAATAGAAACAAAAAATGAATAAAAATGAAGAAAGGAAAAAAGAAAATAAACATAAAAAGTTGAGAGATTCCAAGTCACGTTAGTTCACGACGTTTCGATTGTTAGTATCTACAATCGTCTTCGGGTGATGACTGGACTGATTCCTCATAATAACATTATTTTAAAAATATCTGACATATTAGATACATAATGAATAACTGTGTAGTAACAAACTATTCGGGACCGACACTACACATATAACATTTGAATTCCATTACTTCGGACTTCCATTGTATGATATTATATAAAATGATTTGAAATCTATGAAAGAATTAGTAAAAAAGAAGAATTAAAAATGAATAGCTGAAAATAACAATTATATTAAGCAAAAACAAAACTGAAATGAAATGAAAGTGAAATGAAACACTATTTTTGATTTTTATTTTTTGTTCAATTGTGTTTCATGAAATGAAAATTTAGGAGATTCCAAGCCAGGTTACTTCACGGCGTTTCAATTGTTAGTATCCACAATCATCTTCGGGTGATCACCTCAACCACTACACAATAGGGTTTGGTAAACTTCTATCGGAAAACAACTACTTCCCCGGCTAATTCCACGCTGGATATTAAATTATAGCAGATGTTTCTAGTTCATCCAGTAGCAGGACCATGCTGAAATTATTCTAGTAGATCACCTGCAGACCGCGCTTTCGGTTTGGAGGTATTACCTCTCGTGACCTCAAGAAAGAAACAAATATATAAAGTTGACAACAATAAACTTACAAAAAATGTATATAAATCTTGAAAACTCTCATACATTTCCTTTTTGTAACCATACAAACTGTGCGCTTTTATTCACTTGTCGAAAAAAATTGATTGAAACAATATTGTTAATCAAAATTTTAAAAACATATATATTCTAATTAAAAATTATTCTTGTTCTTGATCAGTGACATAAAATATAGTTTCGCAATATGATAGTACTGAGATAACAGTATATGGTTATTCTGCACATATAAAAATGTTAATTTTTTTAAATAGATGTTAAAATCAATTTTTTATATTTTAACGTATTCAAGTTAAATTATTCATAGCATAATTGTTAATAATCATTTATGTTTAGTATTTGTGTTATAGGAAAAAATCAGTAGAAAATAGTCTTGATATGAAGACAGGTAAATTAATGCACTATTGCGGAACCTATTCTGAAAATTAAAATTGTTATATTTCAATAGTGACATGTTTTTTTTTTGCTCCCTTGTAATGATTTTTTTAATTATGCAATAAAAATTTTCTATGATGTGTAACCAATATAAAAAGTATTTCTCTTCCTCGACTTCATATCGGAGTAACAGTCTTTTGATTTGCTTTTCTAATATAGGTTCAATGGTTACTGGAAAATTATGAAACGGCAGAGGGAGTTTCTTTGCCTCGATCTACTCTGTATGCTCATTATCTCAGACATTGCGCCGAGAACAAACTGGAACCTGTTAATGCTGCTTCCTTTGGGAAGCTCATCAGATCAGTATTTTTAGGTTTGAGAACACGTAGATTAGGAACAAGGTAATAATGAAAATAATCCTTATAAGGTTATAGTTTAATTAGGTTTTAATTGTTAGGGGAAATTCAAAATATCACTACTATGGAATCAGGGTAAAACCAGGCTCTGCTCTCATGAACATAGAAGATCAGAGCAGCAGGGTCGTCCTGAATACGACAAATACTACAGGAAAGGCACAGGGAACTGTCCGACCTTTCAAACGTAATTCGGACCCGTCGGATTCTATTACTAATAGCACTTTGTCCCAGCATGTTTCGTATCTTGGCGATGGTAGCAGCGCTATACCTGCATTCCCAGATATTCATTTCAGTCAACCCTTGCCAGAAGATTGCGGCTTTGAAGATGTTGACACATTAAAATCAATATACAGGGAACACCTCGAGGCATTCCTTGATGCTATTTTGAGCTTAGAGTTTTCTACCGTTGAATCTCTGTGGCGAGAATTTTGGAGGTAAGTTTTTTGCTAAGTTGAAATAGCATAATATCCAATACGATCTTGCTTTCAGATCTCAGTATAATAACAATAGTGATGAATGTGAGGAAGAGAAGTATCTGTCTAAAGCGAAACTTTTTTCACTTTGCAATTTGGAGCCAGTTCAACAGTTTATGAGACAGGTTGATTTGGTTTTTTATCAAAATCTGATACAAGTTTTGGTGCCTGATGTACTGAAACCTATACCGGCTACCTTGACGCAAAGTATAAGAAATTTTGCAAAAAGTAAGTATTTTTTCATAACTTTAACTGGCAAGAATAAAATTATGATGTACTGCTGAAAATGTCTTCTGATGCATAGTTTTTTAGTTATCTAATAAAAATACAATTGGGTGTAATTTCAAGAGAAGGAATTTTATTGTATTGTATCAGAACTCATTTCATCATTTAATTTATTTTTTAAATTAGATGTTAGAGTCACCTGACAGTTCATGGTAACTGACCGACCTCATTGTGGGGACGGTTAACTAAAAGCGATGTACTTGAGAACATTGTAATATGAATATCCATCAGTTTCCATAGTAAATTCAGGCAGAAAAGTGTTATGCAATGTATATTCAAAATTAAATATTCATGAATTTTAAAATAACAGTTGAAAAAATGTACCTACTTCACTTGCCGTTCAAACACCTAGGCTCTCTATTACTATCTAAAGGGTGGTCCAACCATTGTAAATAAAACAAAAAGTTTTAAAAGAATAATTGAGGTACAATGTCGTTAATGTGCCGAATTATCTCATCCTTTAGCTCTTGAATTGTTCTTGTATTCTTGACGTACACTTTTACTTTTAGATATCCCCAAAGAAAGAAGTGTCAAATCACACGAATGTGGTGGTCAATTAACAACCCCACGACATGAGATAACACGGCCACTGAATTTATCGCGTTAAATAGCCATTGTTTCGTTGGTTGTGAGGCAAGTGGCACCAAATTGTTGGAAGCACATATCGTCCAGGTTCATATCCTTAACTTCTGGCCACAATAAGTCCGTTATCATCTCGCGGTAACGAAAACCATTTACGGTAACTGCTTGGCCGACCTCATTTTCGAAGAAGTATAATTGTGTACCTCTCCATGGTTGAATTTGTCAAATACTGGAAAAAAGAAGTGTCAAAATGGTTTAGACTTTCACGGATGAGGTTTTCAGTGTCATTTCTTTTCGAGTTTGAAAACCGTGGATTTTTGGAATTTCTTCCTGGCGTTTCGCTGGCGCGAGTGGCTAGCTTCTTCAGAGGTTTAACCATCATGGCTTGCTGTCCGATGACTACCTTTTCGGCTTCGTAAAGCGTACATCGACATCGAAACAGTCTTCAAAACCACGAGGAAGATACAACAAAGTCTCAGGTCGGCTAAAGACGAAAGAGACCCTTTATCAGCAGCAGGGGTCTATCAAGTTGGGCAAAAAATTTGGCTTTAAGGTGTGACTCACAATTTACATCGTGCATTATGATTGGACCACCCTATATATATTATATATATGTACTATATCAATATACACTTCAATTACATTAATTAGAAAATTCATAGAAACTTTACTTCTTTTCAAGAATAAGTAAAGATTTGACTATGGAAACCAGGATACTTGTATACCAATCCATAATACAACCGCATTTCGATTATTGCTCTTCCATTCTTTACTTCCTAAATGACAATCAGACACCAGAGTTACAGAAACTACAGAACCGTGCAGTCCGGATCATTCTTAGGTTACCTAAAGTTACTAGTATTGCATTTATTTTGGAGTTGTTGCAATATCACAGAGATTTTTTTATATGATTATGATTTTTATTTATAAAATTCTCAATAAAATGCCACCATCCTACTTTGAATCCTTCATTAATTTCACATTCAACATACATAACCACAATACTAGAAATCTTGATCTTTTATATGTAAACAGAACTAACCAGCGCAATTCCATGAAATCATTAGTAATCAAAGGTTTGATTGAGTACAATAAATTACCATATGAAAAAAGATTAAGCTGTTCATTGTTATCATTCAAGAAAAAATTGTAATATATACCGTGTGACACAGACTTATGGTACACCCCCCTTTTTTCTTTATTCTTTCACCTATATTTACGGAACTATTAATATTGATTATGCTTACAAAGAGGCATTTTTTGACGTAATGTGAGATTTTTTCAACTTCCGGTTTTTCCGGAAATCTTATCAACATTTAATTTTCAAATAGAACACCCTGTATATTATTACATTTTTGAAATATACACAATTTTCTGAATCCAATGGTACCCCATACTTGATATTTTAAGTGTTAAGACGCTCGGTTCATTTTTCGATCTAGAGGGACATGAACGTGAAAAGAATTAATATTATTTCAATTAAATCAACACAACGAATCAACATCATTGTATGGAATAAAACTTAGACATTCATTTTCTCATATTGTAATTCATTTAAGAACCAAAACTTTTTTAAAATACACAAATAAATCATAACAGCTGTTCGAAATGTAGACTGTCAACATCCAGGCGGTATTTTGAATCACACTGGCCAATTGTTGAGGCGTTATATTTTGAATGGCTTGTCTTACTCGTACTTCCAGGTCCTCGCGGGTTGTTGGGGACGTTGCGTAGACAATATTTTTCAAGTGACCCCAAATGAAAATGTCCAACGGGGTTAAGTCGGGTGATCTAGCATGCCACCTAATAGGACAATGTGTTCCAATCCATTGCTCCCCAAATCTATCACGAAGATACTCTGTCACTATCCTATTATTATGGGGAGGTGCTCCATCCTGCTGAAAAAACAGTCGATTTGCCAGATTAAGCGGTAAATCTTCTAAATATCCTTCAATTTCATTTCTGAGAAAACCTAAGTATCTATCACCACTCAAAGGACCATCAAATATTGTGGGGTCAATTATCCTAACCCCTACTATTCCCAGCCAGAGATTGAATCCAAAACGTTCTTGGAAATTTCCCTACCAAAACAAATTCTGATTTTCTTGTGCCCAATATCGGGTATTCTGTCTATTAAAGAAACCAAAATTGGTGAATCTTGACTCATCTGAGAATACAGTTGTTTTCAAAAACTCATTATTGGGCTGCACATTATTGTGTAGAATCCATCTGCAATATTCCACCCTTCTTACGCTATCGGCGTCATACAGATGTTGGTGAAGTTGATATTTGAAAGATCGATACTTGTGTTTTTTTACAATACTTCTTACACTTTCACGACTGATATCCAACTCAAAAGCCAGCTGCCTAAGAGATACTGTTTTATCGATATCCAACCTCATGAGGACATTTATTTCCATTTCTTCAGATATAATAAAATTTTCATTACCCTCATTATGATCAGGCTCACGTCTGAACTCCTCTTCAAGACGCTTGAAATAATTTCTATCCGGACATTGTCGTGCGGGATATCGCTCCGAGTATAACCGGTGAGCCGCAACTGCATTTTGCCGACATTCCCCATAAATCAATAGTATATCTACTTTCTCGTTTCTGTTATACACTTGTGGCATTTTTAACTTATTTCTGTTAGAAATCAACCAAAGATACTCGCGAAAATATTAGAAAAGTCAAATAATCTGTATATATTATTTTAGCAGGTAACAAGTGTATTTCAAATAGCTTTGTTGATGATACCTGGTTGCCAGTACTAAAAAGAGAGGTTGAAAATAGAAATATGGACTTTAACTGAATTCTCAAAAAAAATTCAGTGTATGTATTCATGTAGTCTATCGCATAAATATGACATAAATAGTTATTTTTTTTATTGATTTTTTCAATTTGTAGGCAAAATTTATGAATACGACAAGTTACTGACTAACTTTTCGGGGTGAACTTTTTAGTTGGCCCCTCATTACACTTCAGCAGATTCTCCATTGATTAAGCTTGTTTTTTTTTTTCATATCGTGAAAGGTTATATACCCAAAAAACAGTGAAATGTATTGAAGTTTGTTATGTTATGAAGGCTCTTGCCCCAAATTCAAAACTATAACCATGTACATCCTGATTTTTTACTCATACAACTTTTTTGTCAAAATTCAACTACAAAAAATTTTCACCGACCCATGTAAGTTTAACCACTAACAATATAACTATATTGATGCTTCACATTGGGGTCCCTCTTTTCACCCGAATTTTCTTTGACAGATTTGGAAAGCTGGTTAACATCGGCAATGGCGGGTGCTCCTTCTGGAATGTTGCAGATCAAACTGACGGCCGTATCAGCTTTCAGCTCCAGTTTGAGACGTTACACATCCCTCAACCACTTGGCTCAAGCCGCTCGAGCGGTTTTGCACAACAGCAATCAAATAGGTCAAATGCTGGCCGATCTGAACCGCGTCGATTTCCACAGCGTCAGAGAACAGGCGTCTTGGGTGTGTCAGTGTGACAACGAGATCGTAGCTCGTTTCGAGAACGATTTTAAGTTGACTTTGCAGCAGCAAAATTCGCTTGAGCAATGGGCTTCTTGGTTGAAAAATGTCGTCAAGAGTGCTCTGAAACCATACGAAGGAAAGCCCAGTTTCTCTAAGGCCGCCAGACAATTTTTACTGAAGTGGAGTTTCTACAGTTCAATGGTCATCAGGGATCTGACGCTGAGATCTGCAGCTAGTTTCGGGTCGTTCCATCTGATTAGATTGCTCTATGATGAATACATGTTTTATCTGATTGAACATCAAGTGGCCGAAGCAACTGGCGTGGTGCCAATCGCTGTGATTTTGGAAGGAATCGTAAGTATCATTCAAAACATTTATCTCATTAGACTTGTGTTAACAGGAATTGAAATTGTCAAGATGTAAATTATCTGGATTGAATCAAACGAAACTTGAACTGAAACTAAACTAATTAACCTAAAATGAAATCACAAAACTTGCTCAACCTTTTCACTTGCTGTCCTAGAACAGGTTTTCTCAATTCTCTCATTATTGAATCTTTCTTGATCAAGCAAATGAGAAAGAAGGAATATAAAGTTTACTAACGTTTCTTGTAGTGTAATTATTGATTTCACGACAAGCTGCAGAAAATATTGTACAGAGTTGGTATACCATGTGTTTTGAAATTTGTTGGAACAAAATACTTCTCACTACATGTTTTCAAGTTTCTGCTCAAAACCAGTGCTGTTACCCAAACAGGTTATGCCATTATTTTTGATTTACATAAATTCTGTTTCAAAATTATTGTTGAAAGGAAATATTAAGTTATACGCGGATGACACATCATTGCTTTACTTTTCTAGTAATACTAAAGAAGTTTACAATAACATGAAAAATTACATTATATTGCTAACCTATCTTGTTTGAAGATTATTATTATTATATTAGTGAAGACAGCACAGCTATAATAATAGAATATCAATCCTTTCATTTTAATTATACAATACAATATCTTATTAATGAGGAATATGCATATGGTGCAAATATTTTTGAATATATGTGAACTCTGCACCACAATAAATTATGGCCAAGTCTATGTACCTAATTTTAATTATCTAAAAATGTCTTTCATCATTTGAAGATCATGAAACGTGAAACATGGAGCCTGTCGTCATTCAACTTGTCATACCAAAATATACCGACAATATTTACGATTCTTACGAATTCAGGGCACAGTGTATACTAGGGTGCAACACAAACAATAAATCCGTAACATGCAAATACTGATTTTGCAACTTGTGTTCTTTCTTTTTGGTTTGTGATCATCAGCAGAACAAAAATCCAGAAAGCACACAACAATACATCATTATTGATCGCGCAAAAAATCACAGCGGTTTGAAATGCATTCACTTATAAAGTGATACTTAACATTTTTCTCTTTGTGAAGTGAAGTATGATTGAAAAAAAAACATTATAAAGGTACAGAAGACCAACTTGAACGATATATGCCATGAAGAAAATATGCATTTTTCATTCAGAGTTAGATTAAGCGATGTTTCAAAATTTAGAAATGTTCGATTGTCGCCATTGTCGATTATAACGGGTGATTCTTTTTTTTGGCCAATATAAAAGATGAAATTGGTGATGGTTTCTCGGAGACGAAATGTTGTATTGTAAATCTGTAGACAAAATCTTATACAACTTGAAAAGTGGCAATGGGAAAATGTTCATTGTTTCAAATAACGTCAGAAAAAAAACAAAATTGGTGAATGCTGGTCCTTTTGGAATACTTTTGAAACCCATAGGAATGCTCTAAATGTTGAAATGTCATTTAAATAAGCTCTAAAATAGTCATTTTTTCTAATTTAACTGACTTTGTAACTCGGACAATTTCAAATTTTCTTATCCTTATCTTAAACAGACAGTTAATTTATTCGGAAGAGTGTTGGAAGATAGTTTTTTGTTATTTACACTTCTTTGATAAGAGTAGCATCTGCTACAATAATGTATTGCCTACTGAAAATGTTCTTCCTTCAACATATAAACTTATATTCATATTTTTCAGAAACAGGATATAATGGAAAACAGTCTGAGTATTTATGGAAATAATGACAACTTCTCATCATCCAAACTGGTCTGCAGCAGTCCCTCAGAACCCTTATCAAAACGCCCTAAAATTAGCTAGCTTAAAAGTAAATCCAAATGTATTAATTCTTGTCGCTAATACCCTAATATGTTGCATTTAAACCAATTTTTTCTGTATCGTTGACAATTTTTATGCTTTTTTTATTGCAGTACATTGGGACCACTTTCTTACTTTGTCAGTCCTAACTACCAGTCAATCGTTTCATTGTATGAATTTTCAAATTAGGAAATGAAAATGTGTAAGAGTTTTAAGTGTTACTTTGTGCAATCGTTTATTATTACAAAAGCATATGTAAGTGCCGTCAAATTTGTGTGACAAATAATAGGTGTATATATGATTAAATACGTAAATATTTTTGGCACTAGGTGAATTGTATTATTTTTTGTCCAATGGACGCTTCTATTTATTTCTATTTATTTACAGAATTTTAAAGTCGACTGAATTTAATTTTGTTGATTTTCAATTTATATTATTTGTTATTCATTTGTTTTCCATACATTACATACTTTGTTTTGCTTGGTGTATTGTATAATTGATGTTGAATATTTTTCTATAATATTTATGTAGGTATATGGAATTTAAATATGGGCGTAACAAGTTATTTGTGAGGAATTTGAAATCTTTAACAACATTGGTATGATTTTTAAATGATACATATATTTTCTTCAAGAGATATTTATTCTTTTTTCATGTTTCTTTTAAACATTTTGATGAAATAATTGAAAAACTCATACATCTGTGGTACTGATTTTTTTATGAAATTAAATATTGTTCTATACTGTTTTTTTGGGTTTATAACCTTCCACAATCTGAAAAAATAAAAGCTAAATCAATAGAGAATCTGCTGAAGTGTATTAAAAGGCAAACTGAAACTTTCACCCTGAAAAGTTACTGCGTAATATAAACTACTGGAAAGTCCAATTAGTCAGTAACTTGACTACAAATTGAAAAAATTGAAAATTGATACTTAGCTTTCTCAAGTGGTTGAAGTTTCGGAAAATGATACTTTTCCATTTTCGAAAGCTGTAGTCACTATAAAAATCTCGCTTCTAACCATGATAGTTCTAACTTCTTTTGGCATGAGTCAAAAAGAATAGAATATCCAGATGTCACACGCGACAGTCTACATGAACACACATACTGGATTTTTTTTTTGAGAACTCAGTTCAGTTAAGGTTCATATTTCCAAAAAAACAGTATAAAATAAATATTGTTAAGTAAATAATGTGACAGTTGAAAATAAATTATAAATAATCTGGAAATTAACTAGATATCTAGGATGATGAAAGTTCATCAAGAAAAGATAACAAGTAAATTTTTCAAATTGAATTCTGAATTTTTGCACTACCTGACTTTTATGAGAACAATAGTTGAGTTGAAGTTATCAAACCATATATGTTGAGGGAATATGTTGCTTTACCCCTTTTGTGAGCAAATATTTTTCAATACTAGATTGTGTTTTAGTTATTTCTTAGTTTTGTGGGATAATTGTCATATATTTTGGATATCATTGAAGTTGTCCAATTAACTGCTTGCCTCTAGTGATCTAGTGGCTCACATTCACATAAAACATGATGAGCTGCCTCTATCCCTTTGGTCTGTCATACATCCCTATTATTTCAGGTGGACCAAATACTACGTGGACAGTGTCTTGTGATTAGCCCTGTACCTGCGAGCTGATCCCTGCTCAGTAGGAGTAGTTTCTTTATAAAGGTTTTCCGAGTATATGGAGCTTAATGACCCATCTCCTGATATAAAGAGTTGAGACTCTGCTTCTAGCTCATCAGCATTTTTGTCATATGTATCCTGACACTCAATACAGAGTAAATTTATTTTTGTTTGCCAGTTCTTCATGGAATTCTCAGACCAGTCTCGATATCACGCTTGGGTTCATTAATTAACCCATGTGCAGCATGGCTGTCTGTAAGAAGCATTTGGTTTTCTGAAATTTACTGATTATTTATTTCAGTAACATTCTGGACAGAAGTGTAAAACATTTAAGGAGGTGATTCCTCATCGAAAAAAAGATAGGATCTTTCATATAAAGAAACTTATTGAAGCATCCCTTGTTAAGATACAGCCCCTTAAAGGGGGTACATAAAATTTGTATAACAATTTTTTTCACAAGCACTGAAAAAGTTACAATATTGAAATGGACCTGACGTTTTGTACTACCAAAAAGACACTTAGCCAGAAATTTATTTGGTTTACCCCATGGTTGTAAGGGGTGGAAAACACAACCCCTAAAATTTATTTCCAATGTAACTTTTTGTCTTATAATTGTTTACCATTTAAAAATTTATTCCCGATAGCCTGTTTCATTCTAAACAAAAAATGTCTCTTGGGTTTTTTTCCCAAAATAAACCAGTTCGCAGCAAAAAATTATTTTACGAACAACAACTACAGAGATACATCGTCATAAATGCGAACTGGATTTATTGTTATTTTGTAGTTAGTACCTGCATTGAACAATTGAAGGGTAATAAATAAAACTAATTCATTAATAACACACAACATGTAGAAATCATAGTAAATGTTCAATATGTCTGTCTACCTTCAGACATTACGCATGCGTCTAGACGTCGGCGCATTGAGCCACGTATTTGTTCATATATATATTCCTGGAGAGAGAGGATTGAGATCCGGAGATCGAGCGGGCCAGTTCTGTGATCCTCTTCGACCTATCCACTGATTTGCATATGTTTCAATTAAATGCTGACGTGCTACTTGACTAAAATGTGGTAATTATGAAAATTAATAATCTTGTCCCGAGAAAAACTACATTCGTCTGTGAATTCAGAAAGTAACAATTTCTTCTAATCATTTCCAGCATCCAGTTGCAAAATTCAAGACGGTTCGGAAAATATCGCGGTAACAGTGCCTGTACTCGTTGCAGATGGTAAGGGTATAAGAGTTGTTCCTTATTTTCAGTGCATCTTCTTAGAAAGGGATTTTTATTAATACTTATTTAGTTACACCCTGTATAGTCCACCAACCTAACCAACAAAATCACTAGAAAAAAGGCGTAAACAGCAAACTTTTCAAGTAACAGTTCAGCGCTTATTTACTATCATTTTTCATTCCACTCTTTTCAATACTTTGGCAAAATAGGACTACTAGTGAACAATCCGATGAAACTTGATGCTTCACGTTAATTTTATTTGAGATTGAGTGGAACAAGTGTTATTTTTTTCTGCTTCTAGATAAAAATGAATTGAATTTTACTTTTCATTTCTCCATCATTTGAAGTTTTTTGTGGTTGAATAACAATACAATATGTAAACCAATTTTTATTTCAATGATGAAATGCATCAGGGTTTTTTTTTTACTATTTTCAGCTGAACAGAAGGATATATAAAAGAAGTTCACCTTGTTTTTAACGCTTTCCATCACTGAAACTTGAGATAAAAAATCCAAAAAGCAAGCATCCTCTACATGTTTCGTTTCACCCCCTTCACTTCCCATTTGCAATCAATGCATTTGTCAGTCTATCTGATGTAGCACCCTAGATTTGTGAGTGTGAGTGAGGTGTAGCCAATTGCCCCATCAGAACTTGCTACTGAAGTTGGCTGTGAGATTGTAGAACATTGAGGAGTATATTTTTATTAGTGAATATCAAGGAATTCTCATTTCTCTTAGTAAATTTGGTTGTTTTTCACTGAAAATCTTCGCCAAATATTGTTTAATATTCTCGACTAGGCATTTTCCAAGTAATTTGAATTGTTCCTGCATTGGGCATGATGATGTAAACTTTACATGCATTTTTATTTTTTTTAACGAAAATTGGCCAAATATCGAACTATTTCAGAAAAGGGTAATTGTCGAAATATTTATTGCGGTAGTGCAGAAATAAATATGTATAAGATTGACATGAACGATAATCTTGAAAACTTTTTTTGTACTCCATCAAAAGGTTTTGAATCAGAAATACTGCAGTTGTTTGACTTTTGAATTTCTATTGAAGAGAACAAAATCCGGGCAAGTAGTACGCTACTGCGACAAACATCATCAGCGTATACTGCGAGATGTAACTTTTGTCTAGTAGGCCAGATTTTGTTCTCTTTAATCGTGGCTCCGGCCGTAAAGCCTATGTTCTTATTTTGAATTTCTTTCATCAAATTTTGATTTTCTTACAACATGTAGATACGTTAATTGCTCAAAAGTGTAATCCATCCATTATGAATATTTAAAAAAATAGTTGAAAAACAGAATACGCAGGGTACATAAATATTCCTCTAACCAGTACAAGTAAGTGTATTGAATATGTAAACTTGCTTTGATAAAATACATATTTAGAAAAAGTACTGCTCACATTGGAAATTGTTTACAATTTATTCAAATGATTATTTGGTGGATTGATAAATCTCTCAATGGGTATTCGACTTGAGCTTGTCTTTATGAATATGCAGGATAAGTTATAAAACAATTCTTTTTGTTTCTCTAGAAAGGTGTGTTTTTGTATGATAATAATTGTATTTTTTCTTGGAAGTTATTGTTAGAAAGATTTTCGAAAAATGAGTAATATAAAATAGAATTATATTCTAAGATATGAATGCTTGATAAAAAATTAACTATCTGTAACTCACAGGGTACTTATTTTTGTTTTAACTGCTTTCTCTCAGGTTCTAGTGAAGGAGTTATTTTTCGTAAACAAATGCGAAATAAAAACATTACTGAACAATTTCTAATAGATGATTCTATCAAAAATAAAAGGAAAGAAACAAATTTCAAACGTAACTATAAGTGTACTCCGTGAATAGTTGTTATCAAAATATAATGACGGTCAATAGTCCTTGTGAAGTCCAATATGTCAGAGGTGTTGTTGACAATGATCTTGGTATCACCAGAATTTGAATTCAGAAACTTACTGTGTATATTCCTGTTTGTGAACAGCATTTTTTGTCGTTCGCCTTATTTGATTTGTAAATGTCGTACAATAGAGACCAAATGAACGAACTTTAATCAGAACTGATATTAACTAAAAAGGATTTCTTTTTTTTCATTAACTTTTTCGGCATTTTCCCTTTCCGCAATCTGCAAAAATAATTATAATGGAGTTTTTTATTGGTTTTTAACCTTCCACAATATAAAAAATAAACAAAGCTAGAAAATCAGTTGAAGTGTAATATAAACCACCGAGTTCAATTAGTACTTAACGTATTTATTGGGTTTAGAGAACGGAAAAGGATAATTTTTCGAAATGTTAACCATCTAGGGAAAGCTAAGTTACTGACTAATTGGTCTCTTCAGTGGTCTCTTATTTTATGCAGTAACTTTTTGGGGTGAACTTTTTTTGCTCTCTATTACACTTCAACAGATTCTCTCTTAACTTAGCTTCATTTTTCAGACTATTGAAGAGTATAAACCTAAAAGACAATAAGAAACATTGACCTTCTTTTCCACAAAAAATGTTTTTCAAAGAAATTATGTATTGGAGAACTTTGAACAGGTGTACAAAAGGCAATTTTCTAGTTCACCCCGATAAGTTATTGCGTAAATTCGAAATATTTTCCACAAAGAAAAATGTTCTGTTTATTAGTAACTTGTCGTATTTTAAGAATTTTGCCTGTACAAAAAAAATTAGGAATCATATTGATACTCATCTTAAGGTTTCAGAGGCTAGAAATGTAACACATGTCTAGGAGGTTTCAAAAGGAGATTATATACGGTATACATTCAATTTTTTTTCAATTGTAAATGCAGAGGCTGCTTTTTCTGTAGAATAAATTTATAAAATACAAATGTACTCATNTTATGGCTTTCTACTTCTCCATTTTTATACAAAAAATGTGGGATATTTTCAGAGGAAGTAGAAAGCAATTAATTTCAAAATAAGCTCTTTACAAAGATGTGTATATCATGCATACACAATATACCCCTTTCAATGTATATGTTTTAATGAAATATGTTTGTATCGAGCACCAACTAATGGATTACCCGTAGAGGTTCAATAAATGAAAGTGTGGTCAAGTAAATTACTTCCTTGTTATTTGAGGATCATCATTTTTGTTATTCAGTGAAAGGAACCACTGTAAATTATTGAAATTCATTTTTTTTCTTCACCAAAATATAAGTGGAATATATCCAAGTGGTGATTTGAATTTTGAAAAAATTAGAGTAAATAATGCCAAATATTCAAGAGACACTTTATTGTGGAATTTCACTAAACAGTTTTACAAAAACATATTAACTGAAACTATTGTATAGCGAAACAAGTGTTTCTTTTTGCTAAAATGTTTAATGAAAATCTCACATTGAAGTGTCTTTTGAATACGTTATGGATTTTCATCAAGTATAGATCGATTCCACCACATAATATACTGAAGACAATGACCTCCCTCATATGTATGAAAAAGTGTGAAGCAACTCTTTTACTTATTTTTGTTTTAACTGCTTTCTCTCAGGTTCTAGTGAAGGAGTTATTTTTCGTAAACAAATGCGAAATAAAAACATTACTGAACAATTTCTAATAGATGATTCTATCAAAAATAAAAGGAAAGAAACAAATTTCAAACGTAACTATAAGTGTACTCCGTGAATAGTTGTTATCAAAATATAATGACGGTCAATAGTCCTTGTGAAGTCCAATATGTCAGAGGTGTTGTTGACAATGATCTTGGTATCACCAGAATTTGAATTCAGAAACTTACTGTGTATATTCCTGTTTGTGAACAGCATTTTTTGTCGTTCGCCTTATTTGATTTGTAAATGTCGTACAATAGAGACCAAATGAACGAACTTTAATCAGAACTGATATTAACTAAAAAGGATTTCTTTTTTTTCATTAACTTTTTCGGCATTTTCCCTTTCCGCAATCTGCAAAAATAATTATAATGGAGTTTTTTATTGGTTTTTAACCTTCCACAATATAAAAAATAAACAAAGCTAGAAAATCAGTTGAAGTGTAATATAAACCACCGAGTTCAATTAGTACTTAACGTATTTATTGGGTTTAGAGAACGGAAAAGGATAATTTTTCGAAATGTTAACCATCTAGGGAAAGCTAAGTTACTGACTAATTGGTCTCTTCAGTGGTCTCTTATTTTATGCAGTAACTTTTTGGGGTGAACTTTTTTTGCTCTCTATTACACTTCAACAGATTCTTAACTTAGCTTCATTTTTCAGATATTGAAGAGTATAAACCTAAAAGACAATAAGAAACATTGACCTTCTTTTCCACAAAAAATGTTTTTCAAAGAAATTATGTATTGGAGAACTTTGAACAGGTGTACAAAAGGCAATTTTCTAGTTCACCCCGATAAGTTATTGCGTAAATTCGAAATATTTTCCACAAAGAAAAATGTTCTGTTTATTAGTAACTTGTCGTATTTTAAGAATTTTGCCTGTACAAAAAAAATTAGGAATCATATTGATACTCATCTTAAGGTTTCAGAGGCTAGAAATGTAACACATGTCTAGGAGGTTTCAAAAGGAGATTATATACGGTATACATTCAATTTTTTTTAATTGTAAATGCAGAGGCTGCTTTTTCTGTAGAATAAATTTATAAAATACAAATGTACTCATCTAACTTATCGGGGTGATTAGAAGTTTGTTCTACACCTGTATAAAGTTCTCCACTACCATTTTGTATTTTATTCAGGTTATAGAAGTTAAAAATACCACAAAAAATTAATGAAAAACACTGATTTCCCCTACATATGAAATTGATACACTGCAGCTTTTTCCAGAATGTGGTTCCTCGAGATTGATAACGATTTGTAGAACAACATCTCTGCATTCTTCAGTTGTAGACTGTTTTCAGTGCATCTTCTTAGAAAGGGATTTTTATTAATATTCATTCAATTTATTTGCATATAAAATTTTAAGCAAAAATCTTTTTCATAAAATGTGAGTAGTATTTTTGTAACTAAAGTTGCCTCATACGAAAATACGATTACATACGTTTGTGAATATCAAGATAATATAAATTTTGTATTTACAGATAAGTGTGCTGTTGAAATTTTGTATAATAGTCGCTATGTTTCACAAATATTTATATCGATTCATGTGCTTAAATGCGTGTGGTTTACAGAGGACATGAGTCTTATAGAATTTTGCACTTATTTTTAAATTGTCTAGCAGAATCCCTCATGAGTTCTGCAACATAGCTAGGAGAAAAAAACCTGTGTACTTTTTGTAGATGTTTAGAAGAAATGCGCTTTTAGGAAAAATGCGCTGCTTGTCATGGTTTTACGTGGTACACGGAGATTTTTCACACATTTTTTTTTGCACATCAAGGACTGTGTTCGATCTCAGAATAAAGTAATTTTTATATTTTCAATACTGTGTAATTATGGTTAACAATAAAAACTAGTCTTGTGTTGTTAAAAAGATGCTTTTCATTTTCCATTTTACTCTACATTTCACATATTTTTGTTGATAATTTAATTTCAATGTGAATAACAATTCCTTAAAGCTTCAAAGGTTTCAAACATTTTTCTCAATATATAAGAAGAGATATTTCAATTGTAGCAGTCCAAAATGTTGCAAATATATCTATTGGATTAAATCACTTTCCCTAATTGTAATATTCTATTCAATAATGTTTATTGATCACAAATATACCCTGCCTAAAGAGAGAAGGGTAGGAGTAGGTCAAAAGAGTGCTGGAACCCGCGTGGGTTTATTATGGCTCTCACCTGTTCAAACTAACAAATAAGTCCAGCAGAGTATGTGCTTTGCTGTTTAAAACAGAGATGGCACTGGCTTTGAAATAATATACTGAAGACAATGACCTCCCTCATATGTATGAAAAAGTGTAAAGCAACTCTTTTGAAGAATCAGTCATTCTGTTTGAAGATGATTGATANCTTAGATGGTTTTTTGTTTGTTTCATGTATGTGGCATCACAATTTCCATAATTAATCTTGCGAACAATATCAGCCTAGTCCATTGTCATATTCATTGGTCATAACTTTGAAAATCATTGTTTACTCACATTATATTTTATAATAAGATGGATTCAAAGTATAAATAGTGTTGTGACCATATATTCTTTCATAAACATTCTATCTTAGAATTTCTTTTATGTAGTAAAATTTCAAATTTTTTTACAACATATCAAACACCAAATCAAGTTGCCTGAATGTATTTGGATCTATTACAAGATGTACTACTATAGAAGTCTACCAACGTTTTGGAAAAGTTATGTTCAAGTTATTGACCACTAAAAAACAAATTATATCGATAACAAATGTGTATCAACATTTACCCGTTGATTGTGAGTGCACTAGATACATATGCGTCAATTTGTATACATATTTTTACTTCATTGGGTTTTTCCATATCATTTCTGTTTTAAATATTATTTGGCCTTAATATAACTGAGCAATATAAAAATAAAATTTGATCTGAAAGTTTAAAAAAATTACAAATATATAATAAAAATATAAAATTAAATAGGATGTCAAAATAAAACAAAAAAGACAAGAATGAGTAGTGATAACAAATACCCACAAGTTGGTATATTCTATTTTTCTTATCAAATAATATTCATCACCAACTTCATCGTAACACAATTACATTCGTGTTATATACTCATATTGAATTATAACATTCATATTGTCTGACTACTAGCATTTGTTCATCTGTGTATCACCAAAAAAATTGCTACAATCTTGATTATCAAGATTTTTGTCCAAGAACTAGACAGTATGTACCGTTCCTGGTTGGTGATCATTGTCCATATGCAACTCACCATTCACCTTGCATATTTCTTTATTTAAAACTAATGCATTCTCAATTTTTCCATTGGGTTTATCCTTACTAATACTTTTTGGAATGTTCACTAAACTATCAGTCGAATCATTACTGCAAATTTCTTCTGCCTGGGAGTCAGGTATTTTTTGACCTTGCTCTGGACCAACCATGAAATTACTCCACCAGTTTGAGAATGCTCCTTTAGCTTGGTTCAAGGCGCCACCTATATGCAAAAATTTCATTTAAAGGTGGTTGTAAACATTTTTGACGATTGGATGTAAATTCAGATAAAAATCATTCTAAATAGTTACTCACTGAGTTAAAAATGATTGCAAATTTGGCTGAGAGCAGCTACATTCACCTACAAATACCTATTTAATTTTTTTATTTCTCTGCTAATATATGAAGATTAGAGAATATCTTTTTGTAAGTTTAATATAGTGTGAAAGCACTATATATATTTCAACCAATAGGAACAAATTTTTTTCATTAGGTAGAGATTCAAAAAGTCTATTAGGAAACCCAATTTCATGAATGAGGCTTCATTTTCAGTGCCAGTTGGACGGAAAGTTATCTGCTTGATAGAACACAAATTGTAATTAAATACTTTAGTTTTATGTCATTTGCAGCTGTGTTATTTCCCGTCTGAATAAATAAATAAATAAATGAAATAAATAAAATGTGATCACAACACTGGATTCACATAGTAAAATTAGTTCATTATTGGTGAAGGAAGTTTTAAAAAAACACTATTTAATGGAAAATAAGTAAAACCCTGACTAAATGGCTGATTCGGAATAATATCCACCACAATGTAATTGAAATAATTTTATTTATGAACTAGGAAAAATCAATCGCTCATTCTCAATAACTGTATGAAATGAACGGAGAAGTTATGAAATTGAAATACATTTTTAATTTTTGTGGCCTCCACCAAACCTTCTTTCAAGCCAATGCATCTATCATTTCGTGATTTCTAGATTATGAAGAATTTTTGGTTTGAATGGCTTCAATTTGTTTTTTTTTTGTGTCAAAAGGATTGGAAAATTATTCTAACTATCTAAATCCTATGAAGCAATTTTTTTTCAAATATTATGTACTTTCCTAGTCTTACCAGAAACTTCAATTGTAGAGCAGAAATTTTTGTTAATTTATTCATTATCCAAGCTCTCTCAAATTCACAGTCCTATAGAAATCTATAAAATCCTGTGTGGATAACCCTAATCCAGTCAAGATTCTAGCAATTAATTAGTTTATGCTCTTTCAAAAGTTTGTGAAGTAACAAATTATAGACTGCAAAACCAAAAAAACCATCTATTCTGTTTCACTCACCAACTGCTTTACTAGTGGTTGCCACAGCTTTTCCCGTAGATGCCATGGCTTGATTTATTTTCCTGCCACTTTCAGTATTCTGGATTGTACTGGAAAAAATAATTCGATTTTTTTACTAGCAAGAAAGTTGTCACTATATCAAATTCATATAATTTCAGTACTGATACTTTATCAGTAATTGAGAACATATTTGAAAACTAACTCACTGTGCCAAGCGTAACTTCATATCTGAAACAGACAGCTGTCCTGCAAAAGGATGACCAGGGTGAACCTCCAGAATTCCTGGATTAATACCACTTAACCACATTTTGTAATTGTGACTGTCTCTCCAAGTACTCACAAAACTACAATTGAAATGATCTATTTCTCTTGACCCATCTGAAAAAATATCAATGGATTCCAATATAAAATAAAACGAATGAAAAAGGTAAATGAGATGCACACCTTGCAGCATAGAAGTTCTCAGAAGACATAACAAATATACACGGAACTGTGTCCTGATCCACTCGTCTCCTCCTTCCCAACCCACCCCATCTAGGAATATGTCATGACGTTCCTCTGAAACATGTTTCACTATGTAATCGGCAAACCTGAAATGAAACCATATTTGTTTTCTAATAAACTCCAAATTGACCTTTAGTTTAAGAAAAACGATGCGAGTTTATAATTTACTCCACAACATACTCTACATTAAAAATACTCAAAACATAACTGAAAGATGCCATTTACAATACGACTTGCAATGCATTTAGCAAATAAAACAAGTTAGGGGAAACCCGGGTAAAGAAGATACCCCGGACAAAGCGAATATTGCCTATAACTCCCAAATAGTTCGTTGACCGGCCGCCGTATTGTCATAGCAACGGTCGCTAGTTGCCACTCCGTGCGCGGCAAACACGTCGGGACAAGTTCACATCGCGCTGCGCCAGTGACCGGACAGAGTGTGTTTTGGAAAAAAAATATTAATTTACAGAGGTAAGTGTTTCATTTATATAACTATAATACTATTTGCGACATGTTCTTTGTTATGAGCAGGATTTAATGAATAATTATGTAGCTTTCAATTATCCGTAGACGAGTTTAGATTGTCTACTTTTTTAGTAATTTGGGATAACCTCAAAAATGTATTTTAGAGGTTATCCGTATTCACTTTGACCGGTCACGACAAGTTATAGAGTTTTATGGAATTATGTACTTTATAGCGTTTTTTTCTATTGCAGATGGCGTATAAATTTAAAAACAGACAACACAAGGATCCTGGAGTAAAGAAAACATGCAGGCCGCAATAAATTTGTCTTTAGCGGGAGGATCGATTAAAGGGACAGCAAAAAAATATGGGCTAGCTTATGCCACACTATATCAACATGTCAAAAGTGGAATTGCTTCTCCACAGTTAGGTCGTTCAAGAAAATGAAATGGTGACCTATCTACAAGATATGGACGCAGTGTTTTTTGGCTCTACGCGAGATGAATTTATGAGTCTAGTATTTGAGTATGCAAAACGCAACCATTTACAGTATCCTGAGAGGTAAAATAAACATAACAAAGCACGTCATACAAACTTGACTTTAAGAACACCATAATGGACGTCTGTGGAAAGGGCAAAAGGATTTAATCGCCGCGAAGTAACCGCGAAGTGATGATTTTGTTTGTGATAACTGCAATGATTAGTATTGTAGCAGAAACATGTTTTTTCAATATGTTCTATTAATTTTCGATATTTATTTATTTTAAGTCTAACTTTCTTTGTTTGTGATAACTGAAATGATAAATATTGTAGCAGAAAATGTTTCTTCAATATGTTCCTTCAATTTTCAATGTTTATTTATTCATGAGTTCAATTTCTTTGTTTGTAATAACTACAAAAATTAGTATTGTAGAAAAAAAAAGGTTTGTTTATATGTTCCTTTAATTTTTGATGGTTATTTTATTTTCAATGTTTAGTTCCATGACAAATAATGTTGTTCACTTTGCCCTAGTACTGAATCCACTTTACCCGGGGTGCTGAGCAAAGTAGATATTCACGCCATTGTTGAAAACTGGCATTATATCTAATAGTTTAATTGATATCAAGAACAATTATTATTACATTAAGTGAGTTCATTAAATGAAGACTTAATATAAATATTTGCGAGAAATAAAATTTAAAGTCGTCTCCGCAAATCTACTGCACTCCATTTTGAGATACAATGGACTTCTACCAGAGGTTAATATAAATACTCATTTCAATTTCCCCAGTTATAACTAAACGACAATAATCAAGAAAAGCTTAAGGTATTCACGTTGCCCGGGTTTCCCCTATTTGGAAAAATGCTCAAACACATCAATTAGTATTTTGAGTCACACACTTTTCTAGGAAAAAAATATCTACTTGGTACTCTCCAAATTTGAGATATGACGTGGTAACAATGTTTTTTTTAAATCAGAACCCAATTTTTTAATGTGATTTTTTAAAGCACAAGTTATACCTATCTGCCCAGTTTCAAATAGTTTTTCTATGTCGTTTGAGAGATATTAAATTACTATATTTCACTACAAAAATAAACAGTGTATTGAATTTCATTAGTTCGGACTTCTGTTGTCTAATACTACATAAAATTATTTGAAAATCCCTTGTTCAATTTTCAATTGTTGCTTGTATTTTATTGCAATTTCATTTCATTTTTTTTTTGTCGCTTAATATAATTATTTTCGGCTATTCATTTTAATTTTATTGATTCTTTCAGGGGTTTCAAATCATTTTTTATATCCTATTAGACAATGGAAGTCCGAACTAATGAAATGCAACATGAATATTATCAATCACCTTCAAACAAACTGTGTCTTATTCCATCATTATTGTTTCTTCAATACAATGTATCTGTCGTTTATTGTTAAGCATTACATAATCTTACAAAATTCAAGTTGTCTGTCAGGACCATCTCTTATAACTCCGGAACAATTTTTATTTTGTATGGATGGAATTTGACGATTTTAAAAATTTTATTTTGCAATAAACATGAAATATAGCATGTCTCCACCACCTGCTTAGTATGTCTTGAGCAGGCTCATCAAACCATATCAAAATTTTGAGAATATTATAAAGGTTAATTGAGGGGGAAATTGGAGTCCTAACCACACAATATGTTAGTTTTATTAGTTACCTGAGATCTTCTGTACTTAAATGTAAATACTTCCTCAAATTCAAATCTTGACACTCAATTCTGCCACTTTCAATATCAACTAATATATCATAAAGTTGCCTTTTCTGTTTAAAGAGAATATTAGTTGCTCCAACCACATAACTCCTAACATTTACGTCTGATAATAAATCTAAGTATGGCAATGATAAGTAAGGCAAGCATAAGGAACCTAAAATAAATAAATAATCAAATGGCGTCTTATGTAGAAAAAGAAATGGCAAGAAGATTAAACCAAACCTTGAGTAAAAATTGCCAGGGGAAACCCACATGTTTCAGTGCTCAATTGGGTGAGGTAAGTCATATTATTCTGGACAACATCGGACATAGTATCAGAACTCAAATCCCTCTTAAGGCTATTGTTTTTTTCACCATTTTCTAAAGTTGGATCCTTATTACTCTAAAAATAAAAAATTAATAAGATTTTACAATTTTATTCTTGAAACTTGTCATCAAAAACTGTAGAGGCTAATAAAGCCATTAATGACTGATTTTCACTCACAACTTTTATAGATTCTGTCAGTTCAAGACCAACCTCGGCAGAGTTTTCTTCTGATTTAGACAATCCGTTCTCTTGTTTCTCAGGAATTTCCTCAACTTCTATATTTTCTACCTTTTCGCTAACTTGTATATCATTTTCAATACTAACTTCGTCAGGCAACTCGAGTTTATCAAGATTTGTATTATCTATGCCACTGGAAGTTGAATATCCATTGAAGGAACTTTTGGTTCTAATAGGGCTCATATCTTCGTCTGAATATTCTGGCATAGGAGACATAGGTCTGGACAACCTGAAAGTAAGAACCCAATATAGGACCAGATTTTGTTAAATTTTATGTGAATCAACTCTATAAATAACAATAAGTAAATTTAAAAAGGTGAGTTTGGGTAACACTTTATTGTGAGACTTTCACCAAACAGTTTACAAAACCAAACACTTGTTTCACTTCACAATAGCTCCTTTAATCTTGTTCAATACTAACAGTAGTATGCTACCTAATTACGTTATAAGAAATTTCCATCGAGCACAGGCCAATTTCATCACATATTTAAAAAGGCTTCAGAAGAAAAATATGTTGAACAATCATTTTATGAATATTACTGGGGTTCTATTCCAAAACCAAACCTTTATTTTTCACATCTGCTAGGTACCTGCGTCTTAATTGACTAAAAAAGCTTGTTGAAATATTAATTTTAGTTATCAGATTTACTTGACTAGTAGATAAAGCATTATTGTGATATAAATTTTAAGACAATGAAGACGCAGGTACCTAGCAGAGGTATCGATGGTATATATAAGGACAATAAGGACAATCTTCCTCTTGGAGATGATGACTTGGTGATTGAAACACGTATCTCTCATAATTGCTGAGATCCCAATGGTGAGGATAGAATTTGAAACACCCTGTAAAAATATATGTTCATTTTTAATTATATGACATACCCTTTTTGCTATCTCCAGGCTCTAAGATATAATGAAATTACAAAACAGAAATGTAAGAAGATTAACTTCACATATAATAAATAAAATGTAAAACTGAAATTTATAAAAAGGAGTTAACATAGAGAGATGATAAAAATAAAATGAAAAAAAAAAACAGAAAAAATTATATGAAAAAGGTTTGAATGAGGGAAGTTAATCTATGTTTCTCAGGTTGTAAATATGATATAAACCAATAATGTTAATTTGATTACTTTCAGAAATATTTTTTTATGCGAAGCATTTCCAGCATTATCCTTTTCTGATATCCAGATTCAGAAGCTACGACCTTACTATTTTCAAAATCATGAGCATTTTCAAGCAAATGTTTAACTAAAGCAGAAGCATCAGAACACAATTTTTGTTTGTGTACAAACAAGCTCTTAGATGGTTTTTTGTTTGTTTCATGTATGTGGCATCACAATTTCCATAATTAATCTTGCGAACAATATCAGCCTAGTCCATTGTCATATTCATTGGTCATAACTTTGAAAATCATTGTTTACTCACATTATATTTTATAATAAGATGGATTCAAAGTATAAATAGTGTTGTGACCATATATTCTTTCATAAACATTCTATCTTAGAATTGTTGAGATCATCCTCATTCTTTTTCAAATGATTAGTTAACAATCTATGAGATTTTAAATTCTGTAAGCATATGTACATAATCTGTAAAATGAATTGTATGTTCTCTTGTCTTTTGAAATAAATAACAAAAAAAAATTAGTAATTCCAGTATATGAATCATATTTTTAGTAAAGATGTTTTCATTCCTTGTCAAATTTTGTGAACAAGAAAGATTTTGAAAGTCATTTTAATTTTTATCTATATATTATTTTAAAATGATTAATTATCATTCACAACATTATGTCAACATTTTTAACTAAAAGAAATATCTGTGTGAACATACCTGATACAAGCAGCTTGACTCAATCCTTTTTCAATCATTTCAGGAAATAAAGAAATCAAGGTGAGTATGGTGGAACAGAGAGGATGTACTGGGGACTGGTAAAAAATAACTCGTTTTTCCAAAAGTAGCAATTTGAATAACAATATTGCCTTGTGCTTCCAGTGTAAAATAAAATCTCGTGCAGACAATCCTTAAACATAGAAAATATTATTAAAAATGTCAATATCCAACGAAAATCATTCTTTATTTTCAGTCTGAAATAAGTAAAAACTTACAAAGAAATTCACAAGTAAAAGTATATTGTACCCCGTCAAGAACAACGAACCAACTATAAGATTAGAATGAATGTTAGTTTTGGCAAAATATGAAGCATGTGCTAATTACCATTTATAAATGGTTAAAATTATGATTTCACAATATAAAAGAATTATATTTTCTTGTAATTGTAAAATTCAAATGAAAAGGGAATATTTTTTACAGATATTAGTTTTTGGAAAGAACATTTTGGCTTCCTACTCATTATATTTCACTTGTTTGTAAATTTTCCCTTCAATGTATCTTAGTGCAATAAATGAAGTATTATTATTACTACAAAGAAATTGAGAAACTTCCGCAGAAAAGAAGAAAAACTTGAATACATCAGAATAAAGGAGGTAACTTCCCAAATCTTGACTTTTCCTAAAAATATTTCTTTTACAGTTCCAACAAAACTCTCATTGTGACACAAGCAGATTTGTCTTTTCCAGTGACAAAGTCAACAGGGTTCAATGTAAGTGTACTGTTTCTGTGCATGATCTATATATCTCAGTAAAGAGATTTTATTGAAGTTAATTATTTTCTTTGTTTCTTTAGAAGTTTAACACATTTTTTTGTATCATGGAGAAGTAGAAAACCAAAATACTTTTTTATGAACATTGAATTACATGAAAATAACTTTTTCTCATTTATACTGGAATTGAAATATTGTTCACATAACTGATACACAACATAATATATGGAAGAGTAATGACATCAAATTTCATTCACAAGAAAAACTTTCAATTGTCATGTGTAAGTACTTAAAAGTTTCAGGTAAAAACACTTTCTAAGTTATCAAAAAAAAAGATGATGTAGAGTTGAGGGTTGATTATTAATAATTTCACCGGAATCATCGAAGTACATTTGGAAATTGATAATTCCCTATTAGGTGAAATTTTATATGAATACTCTTTCATATTACCCTATGTATCCAAGAATGCCTAAGTATGATATACGTTTTAACTCCATTGTGAATGTTTGGAGTAGAAACTAAACGAGACAAAGTAATTTCAATGTAATTCATAAATTTGAAAGTAGATGTTTCGGATGAATTTTTTTCCCAGCTTGCTAGAAAGATATTCCATTCTCAGATGATACATAAAAGTAAGTACAGCCATGGCTTGAAAAAGTAAAGAATCGTCAAATTTGAAAAATGTTTTGAATAAATGAACACTTTTATTGATGTCTGTTTTATAAGTTGGAATGTATTGAATTATTGGCTACTCATTATGAAACTTCTGTGCATGATCAACACATATTTGTGATGAATTTAAGAATTTTATTGATTTCGAACAGATTTTTTTTATTTCTTTCAAAAGTTTACCTATTTGTATATAATGGAGAAGTGGAAAAGATTTAAACAGATTTGTTTTAAACATATTTAACAGGTATTTTCAGTTCCGGCAATACTCTTGCTGGAATGCTATATAAATGAAATTCTATACCTACCCACAAATGTTTGATGTAAAGTATCACTTTGAAGCATAACAGAATTCAGATGATGATAAGTTTCCTCTAATATCGAAACTTTGCTGAAATCCCCTTCTTCAAAATATGCATGAGTTATAAGACACATTTTAACCTGTATTTGCCCAAACAATGGTATCCTACTCAAAACACACACTGACTTTTGTACAGTACCTCTTGTAATATCTGAAGTTTTATTCTTTATTTTCTAAAATAAAAACAAAATTATTTGGAATCCTACACAAACCAAGTATATTATGTCAAAAGCTATGTTGACCAAAGGCTGCAGATTATTATGCCTGATTGCCTACTCTAGACATTATAAAAGGTGATAAGACAAAAGACCTAGTATTTTAGTCATCCTTACAACACATACTACGTTGTTTGGGATTTGGGTTGTTGGCCATGGGTGGTGGTGCAGCTTCGTTTCTGCATCTTGGGTTAAATGGCCTAATTCAGGTAGAGTTTAGTGCAGATAGGCAAATTTGACTTATTTTTATTCCCTCTACCTTTCAGTTAATCTTTTCTGTGTTTCTGAATTTCTACCTCCCTATGTAATCTGAGAGTGTAGAAAATTAACATATAAATTATGGCTACCTGTACTGAACTGTACACGATTCAGATCAATTAACTCAACCAATAGGAATCAAGTCATGCCACAGACCATTGAATGAAACCAGAAATCAGTACTCTGAACAATGTAATATATGCTAAAAGGACAAACAGAAAACTGTGTTTACTGCCTTACCATCTTCCGTATACCATGGTTGTAGACGAAACGCGTGAGTTGTAAAAAAAACTGCAAAATACGGCCAACAAGCTTCGACACAGTTACCTCCAGACATGAGCAACTTTAGTATTTACCTCTACAGGTATTTGTCGAAAACAGGAGATCCCATATACAGTTTCAATGGGTTTAGTTAAACTTGGTAGATGAAAGAATACCGTGTCTTCATTGAAATTGTGAGATCCATCAGGAAGTGCTAATGTTGGCAAATATTTCCATCCAGGTGGACATTCATTTGGGTGCCCCGGGACAAGCTCAGGAAACGAATATTCCACCTACACCGGAAAATATGGGTGGATTGTATATTATTATATCAACCAAACAATGAATCAGTGATAGAGAGGCATTTATCTTACCTGACATCCTTTCTTGTGATGAAAACCTACCACAAGTACATATAAAATTGGGGCTTCTTCATCACCCATTTTGGTAAATGAAATTTTGATCAAGCATATGAAAAAGTTGAACTTTTATTTGCAATATTTGTATTGACGTTTTCAGCAACAAGCAACAAAAATTCAATTTGACATTGACATCTACTTGACATTGATAGTTGAATAACACTGAAGACTGTGAATTCTGACATATGACAGGAATATATTAGGGCGAGTTCTCAAATTGACCAGAAAATGTCTGATGGGTTGTTTCAGCCAATAGAAACGGGCTAACGTTTCAAATAGAGCTATAGATGAATTTATCGGATAAAACGAAGTATTCGTCAATGTCAATGAATTGAAGAACTCGTCTTTACTTGATAAATTTAGAAACTGGCGTGAAATTGATCTATTGTTAAGCCCTTTTTCCCTCGCCAGAACAAAAATGCTGTCAGCATTAACAGCAGTTTGTCATCATAACAAAAATCCTGGCAGCATTTTGTCATCAGAACAAAAATCCTGTCAGCATTAAGAGCATTTTGTCATCAGAACAAAAATCCTGTCAGCATTGAGTCACCAGAACGAGTGGAAGTGTTTTCAATAAACTCGTCTTTAGCTGTTTTCGCGTTCACGTCCGATCTCAAAGAATCTTGGTGATAGAAATAGTTTAACAAAATGTTAGCGTGGTTTTCGTCAAAATGAATCAACTTCAACCGCTGTTTTCTCATTTTTATGATGTATCTATAACTGACAGGATTTTCACTAATGTGTAATATGTCAATAGTATAATAGAGAGACCTGAAGAAGCTATTGTATAGCGAAACAAGTGTTGCGTTTTTAAAAACTGTTTAGTGACAATCTCACAATGAAGTGTTTCTTGAATACTTAATGGATTTTCATCAAGTATTGGCCGATTCCGCCACATTTTTATTTACATGTTCTCAAAAGAACAGTTTTAAATTAACCGAAACCTATCAATTTATCACATTGCACAATTTATATGATATAAAAGCTTAAAATATATTTTATTTGCAGATTCACTTCGCGTGAATTCTCAAACAATTAACTTCCATCAACCAACCTTTACAAACCATTTTTGCAACAAGGTTACTAGACCTTCAAAAGAGAATGATGTATTTGTTTAATTTGTTTTAGAATAAATTATAACGAGATCAAAAACAATCATCAACAATAAATATATTTTATTTCATCACGATGGTGTAAAAAAGTTACATTTTTCTATAAAACTGGAAAATTATAATTTAGTCTTTGCTGCTTGGCAAGAGCCAGCAAACAAAGGAAATAATTTCTACATTGCAAATTTACATAATACGTTAATACTGTAGATTCTTCAGAAGCATTCTCTGTGGCACCAGGTGAAGATAGGGGGGATATGTCGATTTCTGAGTGCTCAGCCCCATTTTCTGATTCTGGTAAATTCAACAAACCTTTTGTGCTTTTCACATAATCTGCTACTCTGGCCCTACTTACAAGATCCATTTCAGCAGCACATTCATCCTCAGACTTTGCTTGAACTAAAGGAGGAGTCAGTTTGAATACAAGCAAAGTAGGATCATTATTCGGACAAACAGTTAAGTCCGAAAGACTTATTACTCTTTGCGTTTCATCTTCATCCAAATTGACAATTATCAAAGCATCAACTGTGAGAATTAGAGCAATCGATTCGTACTGAGAGGTACTGGAGATGTTCGTAGCTTCTGCAACATACAGTATTTGCGACGGAGACATGGCATGGATATGTTTCCAATTATATTTCAGAAGTGAATTTGTGCCATGCTCAATTTTGTATACTAAGGGAACTGATCGTGGTTCTGGAAGAGAGTTCCAACCAGCCCCTTGTAGCAGACCTGTGAAAGATGAACATTATCAACTGATATAGTCAAAAGAATAATAATTTTCTTATTCATATACTAGAAAGGTATACCATGATATTTTGAGAATTCCCATATATTTTTTGTTAGTCATGAAATTAAAACCAGTATGATCTTTTATCAGCATCTGCTACAGTTTTTTTGTCCAGAAATGGAGATTTATTTTTATTATCGTTTATAATTTAGATGAATACAATGATATTCAAGTATTTTTCAAAAAAAAAATCCCAAAACTAAATTATTGACGAAAGAAACAATATGGAAGTACCCACGTGTACATGGAAAATGATAATATATTATATAACTTTTGTGAAGAGTCGTATGAAAGAGTACAGTAACAGTTAAGCAACATGAATGTGAAACAAAATGTAATAAGTTACAAATTCCAAAATTCAATATTACAATTGCATTACTTTGTTTAATGCACTTTCAAACTGTATCCAGAGAATCAGCTGTTATTTCAGGTTCAAATATGGAGTTGACAAATGCTTATTCAAAAATAGTTTCTATACTTTGGAGGAGTTTTATAACTCAAAAATTCATTTTCTTATGTTTCAAAGTTTTATTTATATAAAATATAGTCAAAATAGATGTATTTTAGTATTTTACATTTGTTCGACTAGCCATGTAGAGCTACCGGATTGTGATACCCAGTGGGATACCACTGTGATACCAGTGGGAGAATTGTACATACATACTTATTGTATTGAGGGAGGGGCTTCTCACCGGCCATGACTCAGTCTGGCAGCTATACACAGTATTTTATATTGCGAATAAATATATTCTATTCTATTTTCTAACCATAATGGGGGAGCTTTTGGTCATTCACATATCTCTCGCTCATAATTACATAATTACTTTATAAGTCACCCATTGTGAACTATATTATCATTCAGAAGTATTTTGCTTGAAGATCATCGGAACTTTAATATGAGAAGAGTGAAAATTGTGAAGTAGATTATATTTTTACTAAATTCTTTCTTATTTATACATGTTGATTGGACCAACTCTAATTATTATGACACTAAATGGACAATAACAGTAAACAAACATTGAATATCACACAAATCTCAACAGCGACCTGAGACGATTCAACAAAGGGGTGTGTGAAAATCTCCAATAAAACCTCATGGGGTTGCAGTGGAGACTCGAATAGATCCTTTTACTTTGGACTCTACCTACTATTATTAGAGCCATAATAAACAAATATTAATTTATTTGATGTTTGTTTGAGAGTGGTTGACAATATTTCTAGTGAATGTAACAAGTTCTGATTTCCATTGTCTGCAAAAGGTGTTAACAGATTTGAAATATGTGGAAAACAAATAAAATGACAATGAATGAAATGTTTAACGTTTTTGAGAATATTAAAAAATTACCGAACTGAAATATTCAGATTAGATAATTGAAAAACAGAAGAAAATGAGCAAAAATGAACAAGCAATGAGTATAGAAATTCAAAAAAGGGTAAGAACAAAAATTAACACTAAGTGAAATGTCAAATATGTGAAAAAAATTAAATTCAAATAGAAATGAAATAAAACAATCAAAATAAATCATAAAAAATGCAAAATAAGGAAATATTTCAAATCAAGTGACATCACAACATTTCGATTGTGGATACTAATAACCAAAACGCTGTGAAGTAACTTGCTTTGAAATTTTTTCTTAGTTTGTTTTTTTGCTTTCTTCATCATTTATCTTGATTATTCTATTTTATTTTCATCTAATTTTTGTTGTTTGTATAAGCTTGACATTTCATTTATAGTTAACACATTTATTACATAATTCATTTTCATTTCAGGTCCACAATACAATGTTTTTCAAATTAGCGCTGATACACTTTTTGAATTCGTACACCCATTGCTTATTGATTTTTCCCCTTTTTCTGTTCCAACTTACAATATTTTGGTCCGGGTATTTTTTAATATTTTCAATAACCTTGAAATTTAACACGTTTTCATTTCATTATTAACACCTTCTTTAGACAATGTGAGTCTGAACTTGTAACATTCAATTCATTCCTTCCTTGGTCCCTCTTATTTTGCTCTGATAGCTCTGTTTTCAACAACATGTACCCCAAAAAACCAAATGCATAACCAACTTTTTCACTTAATGATACATAATGTTAGCGATGCTAAGGACATAGCAGCTCTAGAACAATTGAGAGTAAATTCAGTTGCCAGATTTGTAGAAGGGAATGTTTAAACAACATATTATTTACCCTGTCCTGTCAGAGCAACAAGTTCTGCAGCTCCACTCAGAGGTTTTGTAACTATTCCCACGAGCCCAAGACCAACCCCTGCCACGAATGACCTTGGCGAGGCTCCATCAGTTATCACAGATTGAAGGGAATGATGGGCTATGCCTCCCACTGCTCCGAGAAGACTTATACCCAGTCCGGTCAAGCCCTACAAACAAATGAAGGTTGTTAAATCTAAATAGTTGACCAGTTAGTTCAGATATTTATTACAGATATTACTATAAAAATGAATTACTATTCAATGAATGAAGCTGTATTTTAATCAGTCCTTTGTAGCAAGAACATTACCTGAAAACTGTATCACTTACAATGTGACATATTGTATGTACTATCAACATAGAATCCAGAATTAGAAACATGACAATTTACTTTTTTCCTTGAATGAATAGATTTTTGAGTAATTGTTAAATTGCAATTATTGCACATTTTTCATTGTATTACTCATCTCGATTAACACTCTGAAAAAAAGTTTGGTTGTATAATGAATCCTTTATTGAATTTTCAAAATATCACACATAATCTGGAAAACATTGATATAAATTATTTGAACTTTTGGTAAAATCAAGTAATTTGGTTTCAATTTTTATGACTGTTATTAAAATTGATTAAATAGAAATAATGTCATGAAAGTTAAAACTGATTCGAAATAATATTTTAATTTTGTGTGAATGAAATAATCAATTATCAAATAAAATATTTTTACATCATCAACCCACCTGCATGAAACCTTGTGCCAAACCCTGCGGTCTTTGCCGTCTTTGCTCCTCCGCCCTTTTGAGATGTTCTTCATCTAAAGTCAGCCTATCCAAGTTTCTCGCCACACTCGAAGCCAGTTTCGTTAATGACAGGAGAGTTCCCGCCGTCACATGCTTCATTAGCGAGGCAGAGCCCTGGGTGATACCCCTGAGGAAGGCCATTGGCCCCTCCACCAAACCTAAAAAAAAATTACAAAAATTTGAATCCATGAAGATCAATGAAGTTTAGGTTCTTACCTCTGTAAGGCAGGCTCACAAAGTCTCTTAAACCAGTGCCCATGGCTCGAGCTAAACCTCCTGGGCTTCCTAGTAGTTCTAGCGAGCTAACCACCCAACCTGCTCCAAATATTGCTCCGGAAAGGTAATGCATGGTCATAGCATGTCCTAACCTTGGAACAGAAATAATTGGACGTTATCTCTTTCAGGTCTCGACAAGTAAGACCATTGAAAAACTATAGCAACGATTTATTTCGGCTAGAAACTTTCATGTTTATACAGTGTCATCCCCAAAGTATGCACCATATGGGAAACTTGTTTATTAAGGGTTTTTTGACAAAAAGTTATTCCTGATAAAAGTTTGTGCATCCCCTAAAACTAAACATGCACCAACAAAATACAGTAAAACACACGTAATATACGAGGAACCTTCAAATATTTGATTTTGTGACAAGAGTAAAGTACTCTTATTTTGAAAAATCTCGGGAAATGTTATTTAGAAAAGTCGTTCAGCATTGAAAAATACATCTAGATTCGAAGTCATTTCCACCTAAGTAAAGTTTTATTCTTTTAAATCAGAACTGAAACTAAAAAAATAGATGATTAAATATACTTTGAGAGTTCGTGCATTATTTTTTTTCATTTATTTCTGAAATGTGTAGGATAAAAATTGAGCAAAATTAAAAAAAAAGGAAACATGACTATCTAACCTGCATACCTATAGTGAGTAGTAAGAAGTCTTCGTCTTTCAAATTGTCCAAAATATAATGGTGACTGATCCAAAGCTATATAAAGTTTGACAGAGGAATGAACAGACAGTAAGAGCGACACTGGCTCTATGAGGATTTTCCGCAATGTTAATGGTCTGGCTAAGATGGCGCATTGCCAAGACACAATTTCAGGGACGTTCACCTGAAACAAATGATAATAACAAAAATTCTGAAAATTATAAGGGCCCTTACACATCCCGAGGTATTATTGAGTTTCAATATTGATTTTCTAATCGGCAATAAAACCAGCCTTGTTGGAATGAAAACACTGAGGTAATTCATCAGCCTAGTTATGTATGTGTCCTCTATGTAACAAGAGATGGGATTCACCCTTACTTTCAACGATTTCACTCCTGGAAGAAATAAAAAAAACAAAAGATTGTAAATTTTCCCATGATTTCTTATCTATGTCAGAAAAAATAATATGCTTTATTCCTTTCGTGGGAAATGTCAAGTGAAAAAAATCAAATGAATAAAACATGGACAGATAGTTCAAAGTGGCAATGATAAAATTAATTTATCCAAGATACTTGAGGAGTTAGGTTATCAAGGACATCTGCAAGATTATACTCACTGCAATTCTGCTATGATTTTGATTACAAACTTTGCAAAAGTGTAACAGCTCTCGCCCATGACTATAAGTCATTACAAATGAGAGTTAATATCGACAGCAGATCGTTGATTAACTGTTTTCATATAAGTTATAGAATACAAATTTTAAAGTAAAACATTTCTTTCTCAAAATGGATTACAAGTTATTCATGTGTAGTTCTCATGAGAGCTTATAATTTTTTTTTAATTGACAATAATATCAGATCATGTAAAAACTTCACTGTACTGTGCATCACTGCTCCAGTGACTAGAGTACAGTAATTCATTTGACCACTTTATATACAAAAATACATTTATGGCAAGTCATATATACTATAGGTACTATTTCAGACACTTAAAATGAACAACAACGTCTCTAGATTAAAGTAATGAATTTTATAAAAAAATAAAACTGGCATATCAAAATTCCTGTAATATGAATAGTAATAAAAATAAAGATATCAATATAACAAGTCAACAAACATAAGAACAAGCTTTATCACAGCTTTACAATATGAATCAGCTACAGCAGCGTACTCATATTCTTTGATTGCGTAGAAACAGTGGTTGAGAATATATCTCTTGATATTACTGCTAACTTATGATCATGAGAAAATAAAACAGATTTTGATTGATTGATTGATTCAGGTGAAATTTTTCAGAAAAAACTCTTGGGACTGACCTGTGATGAACTTTGTCTTAGAATGGTCTTTCCAAGTTTCTAATGTGAAGTCCATCATAACTAATGCCTTCTCCGATGCACCTTCTATCAAAACTTTAATAGGAACATTAAGGGTTAAGAGTTTCTTGATCTCTTTCACTTCCTGCCCGATTAGAACAACTGGAAAATCATAAGATTCTCTCGAACACAGTTGGTTATCAAATTGTACATCAGATGCGGATATTTTAACTTTCATATTCTGAAACAAAAGCAAAGGGTTTTACTTATTTTTGGGAGCATACAAATATTTTACTCACCTCTGCCTGTGTTACACAAAGAACGATATTATCGCACACAAAACTAGCAATTTCCCACCTCTCATTTCCTTCAGATTCTGAATCGGATATGAATATAACAGAAAAACTTTTTATAAAGGCATATTAATCGATTGAATTCCATTTCTCTTTCATCGGTAATGTCTTAACAAGCAAAGACTTTGTTGTAACAGATAATTTTGTTAAATTAGTTTCTGACCAACTGCGTTTGTCAAGAGCCAGTGTGGATGATGAACGATGAACATGTTTGGGAATTTTTTTTTTGAGGATCGGGCTGGATCCTTTAACGGATGTGTCAAACAATTCTGACACAAGTACAGCAGTTGGTTCCTGGAAACGCTGTAGATTGAGTCATAACCATAAATTTGTAACTTATTTTGGCCCCAAAATTATAAAATAAGCTACCACTCCATATAAAAAATATTAATAATTACTGTAAATTAAAGAAGGAACTGAAAGTTTTGCATCAAAAATCATTATGATCAACTGCAGGAAATCTTTGAAAATGTTTGAGCCAAATTATCTGCTCTCTCTCTCTCTCTCTCTTCTTATTACCTCGCACAGTAATATATAACCAACGACCTATTTTAGCTTTTATGTAATTATTTTATTATATATTATATAAGACAACCAATATCAGTCTGTAACAGCCACGACACAAGCCTAGTTTAGGTGGCTGTTACAGACTGATATTGGTTGTGTTATATA